CCGACTATGAGCCTCCTTTTGGCATAAACTCCAATAGTCAGGGGGCTCCTGGGTGGCTCAGTCAGTTAAGCATCCGACTTCAGCTCAGGTTGTGATCATCCGATTCATAGGTTCGAGCCCAGCGTCGGGCTCTGTGCTGACAGCTCAGAGCCTGGAGCCTATGTGTATCTCTTTCCGCCCCTCCCTCACTCGTGCTCTGTCTCTCTCTCAAAAGTAAATATACATTAAAAATTTTTTTCTAAAAAAAAAAAAGCCTAAAAAAGCTCAAGTGGAGAATTACAATAGTACTAATACCTTGTCATGCACGGCAGCAGTACTAGTAATGGAGGTCATGGTGACAGTGTCATTGGGGTCCTTAGGAAAGCTCGCCTTCACCACATTGGAACATTTTTCCCAACCTGGGGCTGTTCGCTTACTACCTTCCCGCACAGCCTCAGGCAAGTCACGACCTCTGAGAGCTTCAGTTTTTCCTCTTCGGTGACACAGGGACATTAACAATACTTAGCTCACGGGTTTTTGTGACAATTGAGTGAGAGAAGGCATACCGAGTGCTCAGCTGCATTCCAGGCACAAAGAAAGAATAAACGTTACCTCTTGGTGCTCTGGCATCTTCTTGAGCTGTGACCACAGGGCTGGCCTCAGAGAACAGGACAGGCCAGGGCTGAACAGAAATTCACTGCAAGCATGTAAAACACGGGGCTCTAATGGGTGCCCCCTTCCCCCCTGTGGCCCCACAGAAGCTCCCAGGTTCCTCCTGACAAAACCGTGACCTTCCTCAGGGGGACGCTGCCAGGGGACTAATGGCCAGGGGGAGTCAGCCTCGGGTCCCCCTCACCTGCAGCTAATCTGCCACAAGCCCTCCGTGTTCACACGCATCTCCATCTACCAGGACTGGATCAGTTCAGGAAGAACGGGACACGCCCTGCGCCTCATGCACCCCATCCTGCTCACAAGGTCAAGGCCCCCTTAGGGCCTGAGAACTAGGCAGGAGCCCCCCACACCCCTGCGCCGCCCCCCACAACTTCTGCAAGTGAAAGGCACAGAGAGGGTGGCCTTGTCCAGGGAGCTTGAAAGCAAAGGATACCCCTCAGGCATTAAGAGTAGGTTCATTAGGGCGCCTTGGTGGTCGGTCAGTGAAGCTTCGGGCTTCATGATCTCACGGTTTGAGGGTTCAAGCCCTGCATCGGGCTTCGTGCTGACAGCTCAGAGCCTGAAGCCTGCTTCAGATTCTGAGTCTCCCCCTCTCTCTACCCTTCCCCTGCTCATGCTCTGCCTCTCTCTCTCTAAAAAATAAACATTAAAAAAAATTTTTTTAAAAGAAAGAGTAGGTTCACTAGGGGCGCCCGGGGGGCTCAGTCAGTGAAGGGTCTGACTCCTGGTTTCACCTCGGGGTGTGAGATTGAGCCCCACATCAGAGCCTGTGCTATGGAGACTGCAAGACCGGGTTCCTTAGGGTTCGTTAAGTATTTTATCTGATTTTTGCTTTCGGCTGTTTGTAGGCCCTGCCACCCAATGCTATAAATAGACTCACCTGTAAAGCCCCCACCTGTTCATTTGAGACCTCCACAGCCTTCACTGGAAATTAGTCTCTCTGCTGGGTCCCCCTGCTGTTGTGCACTTTGCCCTGGACGGAGAGAGTCCCAGGAAGCGGGACTTTCTGTTTAGATGGGGAGAGGCCAGGCCAACAGGACTGAGATGGTCCCTCTGTTACTATGAATGTGCTCCTGAGAGCCGCTTCCTGTTAAGCCCAAAACCAGCACCTCATAAGCTTCCACACCGGCTCAATTACTATTTTTTTAAACAACGGCCACACATTTGTTTATAATAAAAACAAATTATTAAAAAAAACACAAAACACTTGGCCCCCTGGCACCAATCTGGGCTGTAGCCATGGATACAATCAGCAAGCGGTGGAAGCAGCCACAACAGGCTGATTTCACAAGAAAGGCAAGTCTGGAAGAGGGGTCTGGGGGGCCTGGGGGAGGGGGAGGGACGGGGGGCCTGGGGGAAGTAGGAGGGGTCTGGGGGGTCTGGAGGGGCCTGGTGGGGGGCGTACAGGAGGGAGGAGGGGCCTGCGGGACCTGGGGGGGAGGGGCCTGGGGGTGTCTAGGGGAGGGAGGAGAAGCCTGGGGGGCCTGAGGGAGGAGGAGGGGTGTGGGGAGCCCTAGGGGAGGGAGGAGGAGGCATGGTGTCTGGTGATGGATGCAGGGAGGAAACAGGAGGACTCTATGCTGATCTGGGGCATTTTTTCCCTACCTCCTGGCATCGCCACTGCCTCAGTTTACTCTTCTGTAAAATGGACTTGAACCTGAACAGGAGCCAGAACAAGCGGGAGTTGCATGTAGTTTGTGACAGAGACCCAAACAAGAGAAAGCAGGCATGTGATTTCATTATCTTAAATGTATTCCACAGAGAACTGTTTGAATCTAACCGGCAGAGTCTTGTTTTACAATCAAGTATGAAGCCACAGCCACGAGCACGTGGTCATGAAAGGAAAACCACACTGTCAAGCGGGCACCGTCAAAATAAGCAGGTGGCTGCCTCTACGTCTCATTAACACGCGCCGGCCCCTTGTTCGTTTGTCCGCCGGCATCTCTTCGCCATCGAGTGGTCACAGGCACCAGAGACTCAAGAAAAGTTTGTTGGATAACAACATAAAATCAAGAAGTGAGTGCCCATTAATTCACAGTTTACTGTTTGCTCCCCTGGGGAAAAGCTCCCGCTTACATCCAGGCAGAGGAGGACCCCAGTCGAGGCTCTGAGGAGCCACCAGCATTTCAAAGGAGCCTGGCCCCAGGCTGGCTGGCTGCAAGGTTGCTCAGGGCCTTTGCCCAGACAGATCCTAGGGCCCTTTCCAACCCCAGCTGCTGTGTGAGTCACAGTGCAGATGGTCCGGGCAGCACCTCGGGGCCCCAACTGCCAGGGACAATTGTCCTTTTTGCCCCAGCATTAACTGTTCCCAGGCACAGCAGAGCAGGCCGCGGCTGAAAGCTTGGCCAGATGTCAGAGGGGATCAACGGGGAAGGCAAGCGTCGTGAGCAGCTGGGCAGAGGCCCTGAGCATGTGGGACGGGAGCCAGGGCAAGCACATGTGCTAACGGGCTCCAGGACCCGCACAGCCCAGCAACCAGCTGTCCCCAGTGGAGGCCGCCCCAGCAGCTGTGGGGGGGGAGGGGGGTGCCTTGCAGTGGTCCCAGCCTGGGCAGGGGCCATGCACGTGCAGCCTGGAGCCCCACACACTGCACTTGGGAACCCCTACCCGCCCAAACCCCGACAGGTGATGAACCAAGGTCAGGAGGCTGCCAAGGGAAAGCGCAAGCAGGGAGCGGTCAGGAGACAGGTGGCCAAGGGCATTCATCCTTTCAACAAACGTTCTCTGAACGGCAGCCACACATGCATCTTCAGGATCCACAAGGTCAATTTTTATTTTTACTTTAGAAAGTAATACATATACTCTTTGTAAAAATATTAGAAGAGCATAGGAGCGTATCAAGTCAAAAAGTGAAAGCCCCCTCATTTTACATCTCCGGGCCCACCTTGCCGAAGCAATCATTGTTAACAGCATGGTGTACGGCCTTCTGGACTTTATATGCATATATCAAATATCTATACGGGGATATTAACATACAATAGCTTCTAACCAAAAATAGCATTTTATTCTTCATACTGTTCTGTAATTGAGTTTTTTCCACTCAACACGGTATCACATTTCACGTGCCAGTACATATATCCAGGTCATTCTTTTGGACAGCTAAATAACATCCCACATTATGAATAGAATGAGGGACACTTTCATCCGCTCCCTCGTCTCTCTCACCCTGCTGCAGTGGACACCCCGGGACACACCTCCGTGCCCACCAGTCTGCTTATCTGTGCTGGAAAGCTGGCCCCAGCAGCATCACTGGATGATGGGGTCGGCGCAGTAAAATGTTTAACAGACACCTGCTAACCAGCCCCTGAAAACAAGGCATAACGGTGCCTTGCAAACACAGCACTAGTTGTTAAACCTTTGAGGCTCTCAATCCCTTCGAGAAACACAAAATCTCAGCACCTGCCCCTCTACACCTTCCGCGCATACGGTTTTCAGGAGTTCACAGGCCCCCTGCTCGGAAATCCAAACAATTCCAGACTAAGACCCTCCCCCCCCTTTACAGGAAGTCCCCACCAGGTCAGTGAAAAGCTGTGATAACATTTTTGCCTCCTGAACACGATTAGGGGATTAGGGCACCTCAGGTAAGGACCACCTGATTCACCTGAGCCGGTGAGTACAGAGCCCGGAAGCAAAGAGCAGGGAAGGTCCAAGTGCAGCTGGCCCTGCAGGGTTAGCCTGAGTGTCTCCTTGTACGCGTCCTGAAGGTGACCCCGAATAACTAACCACCAGAGGCCCCCGGGACTATTTCACGCTTGGAGAGGTCACAGGCGGGGAAATAATAACCAAGCGACCAATCCGCGAATCACGGCTTCGTGAGTCTTCGCAGACAGGCCTCACGTCCAAGGCCCTAAACGCTCCAAACTGGCCTGGGTCAGGATCACGTACACTTCAGGGGCAGCCTCGGGACTTCACTTCCCCGAGGATGCGGCTCCCGGCCCCGTCGCCTTCCTGGGGTGGGGTGGGGTTCACTGAGAGTAAGAGGTGGGGAAATGTTTCCAAAAAAGCAAAAATCCCCTTTATAAGGAAAAACAAAGAGTTGGAGCAACATGAAGGGGGGAAAAGTGTCCATATTCACCCAAAATTTTTTTTAATACTAGAACATAAGAAAAACTGATCATTTTTAGGGGCGCCTGGGTGGCTTAGTCGGTTAAGCGTCCGACTTTCACTCAGGTCATGATCTCACGGTTCGTGGGTTCGAGCCCCGCGTCGGGCTCTGTGCTGGCTGCCAGCTCAGAGCCTGGAGCCTGTTTCAGTCTGTGACTCCTTCCCTCTCTGATCCTGCCCTGCTCACGCTGTCTCTCTCTCTCTCTCTCTCCTAGAAATAAATAAAAAAAAAAAACACTGATCATTTTTAAAACTTCATTTAGGATCTGCACACTCCAGCTGTTTAGACTCCAGGAGCCCCACACTTGCTGATTTAAGAGAGATGCCAGCTTGTTTGTAACCAAAGGTTCCTATAGATCAGTGGTTCTCAAGTGGGGTCCCACCAGGCAATGTCTGGGGATATTTTCGGTCGTCACGACGCAGGGGGAGGTGCTACTGGCACCTGGGGGTAGAGGCCAGGGAAGCTGCTCGATATCCCACCACGCACGGGACGGCCCCCACGACATCGGGCCCCAGATGTCAACCAGGCTGAGGTTAAAAAGCCTTACTCTACAGAACACACAGGGGTCACAGGCCACAGCCACTAGCCAGGGAACAGGCCACTGGTGAGAGTCCTGTGGTGTCCTGCTTTTCTTCTGCTCCTCTTCCTCTGTCGCTGGTCCTCTGTCTCCAAGTTGCAAGCTGCTAGGATCCTGTCCGCCCCTCGTGGAGAAAGAGCAGGCCCCCTACGAGCCACAAACCCCGTCCAAGAGTGGCAGCCGCCATTGTCCGCCGCCACTGGGCCCGGAGCAGGAAGGTTCTGGGGCGAAGGGTGCAGGGGCCCTGGCCTCATTACATTTTAAAGAAAAGCTTTTTCCGGAGGAAGTTGAAGCAACCAGGGATCTGCTTGTAAATCCCTTTCTGCGAAACCGCATTAGCGACCTGTGAAAACAGGGGCACAGGGGGGTCCATGAGCTCTCTCGACGGAAGGAAGGATTCCAGACAAGGGGGCAGGGGGCTGTGCCAGGGGTCGTGCCCGGAGGTGACCCTGCATTCGCTTCTCCTTTCTCCTCTGGTCTGCTCGGCAAAGCACAGAGCCAGAGCCTCCCAGGAGGAAAGTGGGGTCCCAGCCCTTCTAGATCCTTCTCATGACACAAAACACCTGAGCAAGTGGGAGAGGCCCATGTGTGCTCTGAGGCCCTTGAAGAAAGCGGGTGCTCTGGGTGGAATTTCACTGAGTGAGGCTGGGGCCTGATCAGACCATCCTTCCCACTCTCCCACGGGGGACCCCCAAGACAAGGGGATATACTTGAAGGTCAAGACTAGAAGACTACAGTGGCGCCTGGTGGCTCAGTCTGTTAAGCGTCCGACTTCGGCTCAGGGCATGATCTCAAGGTTTGTGGGTTCGAGCCCCATGTTGGGCTCTGTGCCAACAGCTCGGAGCCTGGAGCCTGTTTCAGACTCTGTGTCTCCCTCTCTCTCTCTGACCCTCCCCTGCTCATGCTCTGTTTCTCTCACTCTCCAAGATAAATAAATGTTTTTAAAAAACCATGTTTTTAAAGACTAGAAGACTACACAGTGGGTGCAGGCCCCACGACCCGCCTTCAGGAGCCGTCCTGCCCCGGCACTGAGGACTGGCTCTGCCAGTGGGGACCCCAGTATCAGCCCAGGAGCTCAGACGAGCCAGGGAAGGCAGCCCTCTGAGTAACGGGCAAACGTCACTGTAACAGTTACAGCCACAGCAACAGCAGCCCTCACAGCAAGCCAAGGTGCAGAAGACACCCCTGGTTTGGGACTGGGGCCCCGCTCGCCCCCACCGCCCCTCCCAGAAGCCTCCCCTCTCTTTCCCGGAGGAAGGCAGCGCTCACCCTGAGCAGGAGGGTCTGCAGGTCTTCAGAGTGAGCCCACTGCTCGAAAACACCATCCAGGGTCTCCACGTACCAGGAGCCGCTCCTGGTGTCCCTCCAGGAGACAAAACCTTCGGAAGCAGAGAGGCTGAACTTCACCCGGGAGCCGCGAACACCCCACCGCCCATGCCCAGACGGGAGCCACCTCTGGACTTGGACGTGTTCACACACCCAGCAGTAGCTGCCTGCGTCTCTGCGCCCTGTCCTGTTCGTGACCTTCTTTCGTGGTGGTTGAGGCCACCACCACCTCGGGACTTCGGTCCTGATTCCTGCTTTCCCAGCAAGGAAACCAAGGCTCCGAGAAGTTAAGTGACTCACCCGAGGGCTAAGAAAGAAGGAAACGAATGTCCGTCACACCTGCGATATGCCAGGCACCGTGCTCCGTGATGTACTAGCCACCTTGCTAATCCCCATGATGACCCCTGAAGTACGACTGCTCTTTCCCATTTTAAAGATGGGAATACTGAGGCAGGGCCAGGACAAGGGTGAGGCAAGTGAGGCCCACGAACCCAAGGGCACAGGCCTCCTTAAATTCTGCATCCTAGCTGAGGCTCAGAGAGGCGAAGTAACTTGCTCGGGGTCCCACAGACAGCAGGTCACAGAGCCAAGACCCACCCCCACGTCTTTCCTTAGCAACGCGGCTGCTTCGAGGGCCCATGAGGGACCCACCGGCTGGGCGGACACCTGACATGCTCACCTGGGAAGGTGGAGTAGGACACAAAGATGTCACTGGGTGTGGGCAAACTAGACACGGCGTCCGGCTGGTCAAAGATGCCTGGGCCTTCTTGGAACGGGACAGCGTCTGGCTCGGGGTCACTGCCAGGGGTCCCGTCTTCGGGGGATGTGGAGGCCACCTCAAACCCATGGTCTTTCTTCTCTGTGGGAAGCCAAAACGGACACCTCTCGTCCCTGAAACACCGACCGGAGCCCCTGCTCCTCACTTCTCGGCGACACCCAGCCCGCCCCAGCTCGAGACCACTGGGTTCCCTCCGGAGCCTGGGGGCCAGTGCTGAGCAAACACCAGCAAGAAACAGAAACCGAAGCTCCACTTTTTACTAAGACAGAAGTTTTGCAGATTCATTAGGTAAAAATTGGGAAGGGGGTGCAGAGATTTTTTTAAAGCTGTAAAAACAAGGGGCACCTGGGTGGCTCAGTCTGTTAAGTGTCTGACTTCGGCTCAGGTCATGATCTCAACAGTTTGTGGGTTCGAGCCCTGTGTCGGGCTGTGTGCTGACAGCGAGCTCAGAGCCTGGAGCCTGCTTCGGATTCTGTGTCTCCCTCTCTCTGCCCCTCCCCCATTCAAACTGTGTCTCCCTCTCTCCCTCTCTCCCTCCCTCCCTCCCTCCTTCCCTCTCTCTCTCTGAAAAATAAACATTTGTTTAAATGCTGTAAAAACAAGTTATGAGCTATACGCCCAAAAGAAGTAAAAACAGAAGTTCAAACAAATCCTGGGACAGCAAAGTTCACGGCAGCATCAATCACAAGAGGCAACAGGTGGGGACAGCCCAAGCGTCTGCTGACAGATGAACGATACACAGAATGGGGGTGCAGACGGCCAGTGGAATTTCATCCAGGCTTTAAGAGGAATGAAGTGCTGACACCTAGTGCCATGTAGACAGACACTAAAAACACGCTGAGCAAAAGAACCAGATGCAAGAGGCCCATTCATGGGAAAGGGAAAGACCCAGAATGCGCAAATCCATAGAGAAGAAAGCAGGTGAGTGGCTGCCTGGGGTTGAGAGGAGGCGGGAAGGGGGAGTGAGCGCTGAGGGGAATGAAGTTTTAGTTCAGGGCGATGAGAAAGTTCTGGCATCGGGGCGCCTGGGTGGCTCAGTTGGTTGGGCATCCCGACTTCGGCTCAGGTCATGATCTCACGGTTTGTGGGTTCGAGCCCTGCGTCAGGCTCTGTGCTGACAGCCAGCTCAGAGCCTGGAGCCTGCTTCAGATTCCGTGTCTCCCTCTCTCTCTGACCCTCCCCTGCTCATGCTGTGTGTGTGTGTCTCTCTCTCTCAGAAATAAATGAAAACATCAAATAGAAAATAAAAAAAAACGAAAATTCTGGAATCAGGGAAGGGTGATGGTCACACAACACTTGTGAATGTACTCACTGCTGCTGAATTCTATCCCTTGAAAATAGGTACAATGGTCAACTTTATATCATTAAACAAACAATTTATTCAGCCTTAAAGGGGGGAGGGGTGCCTGGGGGACTCAGTTAAGCTTCCGACTTTCGTTCAGGTCATGATCTCACAGTTCGTGGGTTTGAACCTCGTGTTGGGCTCTGTGCTGACAGCTCAGAGCCTGGAGCCTGTTTCAGATTCTGTGTCTCTCTCTGCTCCTATCCTGCTCACGCTCTCCTCTCCTCTCTTTCTCTCTCTAAAAAATAAACATTAAACAAATAATAAAAACCCTCTATGTAAAGACATCTGTGGCCATTGGAGCCAAAAACTGGATATCATCTAAATAGGCAACATTAGGGAAATGGCTTAGTGAGCGCCTATCACTAAACCAGAGCGTTATAAAGCCACTTGAACCAGCAGCGATAGGGACCGCGGAGACGTGAAGAAACGTTCCCGGGATGATGCTCTGTGCCCGGGGGGCCACAACCCAGAGGCTAAGAGGCAGAAATGGAGGTAGCTGTGTCAGGCTTGCAAGATCCTGGATGACTTCTTTAGCCACAGTTTCTGTCTTTTCCGTTTTAAAATCCGAATTTCCCCAAAGCAGCAGCAGACTTAGAAAACAGGGGTCAGGGCAGTTCACGGGCCACACGCAGCTCATGGTGGGCGGGCCTCGGAGGCAGAGCTCGCTGCGGGGTACAGTGGGCTATTCCAGAGACAGCAGCTAAAAAGAGCTTCTGTAAAAGCGGAGGACAGGGGCGCCCGGGTGGCTTAGTCGGTTAAGCGTCCGACTTTCGCTTAGGTCATGATCTCGCGGTTCGTGGGTTCGAGCCCCACGTCGGGCTCTGTGCTGACTGCCAGCTCGGAGCCTGGAGCCTATTTCGGAGTCTGTATCTCCCTCTCTCTCTGACCCTCCCCTGCTCACGCTGTCTCTCTCTCTCCTAGAAATAAATAAAAAATATTAAAAAAAAAAAAAAAGCGGAGGGCAGAGGGGCCTGGAGGGTTCCTTGGGGAAGGGCTTCTGCAGGTGACTGTGACCCCGGCTCTGCTGGGACAGGGAACAGTCCCATGGGAGGAGCAGGTCAGGTAGGTGCTGGGCAGGAGAGTAGGCGGGTCTGCGGGGCTGGATGGGTGGGAGAGAGCAAGGGGGGAGGGAGGTCACAGGTCACCCAGAGAGGCTGGGCTCCTGCCTGCAAGGGGCAGAGACAGCACAAGGGTGGTTCTTTTTTTTTTTTTTTAATGTTTTATTTATTTCTAGGAGAGAGAGAGAGACAGCGTGAGCAGGGGAGGGTCAGAGAGAGAGGGAGTCACAGACTGAAACAGGCTCCAGGCTCTGAGCTGGCAGTCAGCACAGAGCCCGACGCGGGGCTCGAACCCACGAACCGCGAGATCATGACCTAAGCGAAAGTCGGACGCTCAACCGACTAAGCCACCCAGGTGCCCCAGGACAAGGGTGGTTCTAACCCCATAATAATAACCCCAACACCTGTGGGCCTCTCACCCCATACATCTGACTCGGACGCTTGCTCATCTGTCTTTTCTTCTCACAGCTAACCTTCCACCCTACATGTGTCTGCCTCTTCCAGGGAGGCCCCCGAGCCTGCAAAGGGGGCCTCCGAGGTCTTTGAGAGCTGGGCTGTTCCAGTGCCTACCCAGGTCCCTGCCTCTGGTTGTTCTTTTGGTCGAGAGTCCGGAATCTGCCCTGGGTGCCTGGGAGGGACTTGCCCTAAAACAGGGGCAGGGACGTGAGATGGGGGCGGCAGGGGGATCTGGGGCACTGCTGTGGGGGAAGCGGCGCGAGGAGACAGCGGTGGGCAGAGGGACCGCCGGGGGAAGCCCGAGAAAACACGGTGGGACCCGCGAGGGGGAATCTGGGAGGGACGGGAATCTCCATTCCCGTGTCCTCCTCATCTGACAAGCAAACCTGATGCGAAAGCCTCGCCCACGGGGTTATCCGTGTCACACACTGTTTGTTCTTAAAGAGACCCTCAAATGCAAACCCCTCTGTAAGGCAGACCGGCTCCCCCGTGAGAACGAGCACACCGCAGGATTTATCAGCATATAAAGTCCACAACCACCGTGACACACTCTTCCTCCTTCCGCCTTCTCAGAGTGATTTCTAGAAGTCCCAAGAGGGGTTGCCCCAAAATGAACGGCGTGGGCTAACAGACGCCAAGGGCATCGCCCGATGCCAAATCGCACTGCCTACTCGCTGGCGTTCCATGCCCGCACTACTCACTTTGAGGCAAGTGTGTCTGCTCCGTCCCGGGTATGCACCCCTCCCTCTTACAGGAGGGGTGCACCACCTGTCAAAGGATTTAAAAATTGCTTTAAGCTGTAACGACAGTGAAGTTGACAAAAGCAACACGAGGGTCACCAGACCCCGGGGCTGACCTTCAGATGGCGATAACCAAGAGGGCACCCCGAGCGGACAGAACACTGGCAGGGACTGCAAGCCCTTCGGCATTTCCGTTCTCAGCACCGCAGCGCCCCCGTGTGGCCACAGCGTTGCACACAAGGTCAACAGAGCGCCGGGGGCTGAGCGGGGTCCACAATTCCGAAGGCGGAATCAGAGTCACTGCATTGCAGCTTTGACATCGTGCTCCTCCTGCTGAGTTGGGCTTTCTGCGGTGGGGGGAGTCTACGTTATTTTAAAATGTTGCTCATGTGATTCTTCTATGGTTCTGTTGCAAATCAAATACTCAGAATGAACGTAAGATGCAACGGTGGCAGAAGCTCTGTGCCAGGTGTGGGGAGACCGGACGGGCCTAGCGCTGCCCTCAAAGAGCCGACCAGGGGATGAGGCCACCTCACTACAAGGAGAAAGCGCTGTGACAAGGGAAGGACAGGGCTGTACAAACACAAGGACCCGCTAACCCTGACTCCGTGCTGGGACGGGGTGTTTAGGGAAGACTTCCCAGACACACAGACACTGAGCTGTAACCAGAAGGATGGATGATTAAGAGTAGGCCCCAGAGGGGCACCGGGCCGGCTCAGCTGGTGCACATGACTCTGGATCTCAGGGTTGTGAGTTCAAGACCCACGTTGGGTGCAGAGATTACTTAAAAGTAAAATCTGGGGATTTCCCCAGAAAGCAGTATCCCAGCTCACCCTTCACCCACGGCTCCCTCGCCTGCTTCATCTTTTACTTGATTCATACGGGAAAGGACCACTCGCTCCAGAGTAACAACAGCACCTGACAACACATTCTGGGTCATTAAAAAAAAAAAACAATGAGCTAGGAGAGGATTTCTGCAACTCCGAGGGCAGTGGCCTCTGCAGCTTCCTGTTACTGGAACTCGGAGGTAACTCGCTGGGGCTGGGGAGGGCTCTTAGGTGACACGGGGTGCTCTGGGGTCAGGAAGAGGGGGAGGGCCCAGGTTTGCAGTTATGAAAATGAGCCAGGCACTGGGTTCACGGGGATGCTAGCAAGTGTCTTCTGTTATTATCCCCACTTGCCAAGACGTCCAGAGATTAGCTGGCCAGTGTTTGCGCAGGAACGAAGTAGCCACCAAGACCAAACCTGGTGTTCTCAGTCACTCATGGCTGAGTTATGGGCACGGGCCACGACAGTGACTTGATACAGCAGCAGTCAAATTATAAATTCCTGGGGACAGAGACCCTGTGTGGCTAGTATCTCGAACACCTAACACACAGCCGTGTGTAGGCAGCAGATACGCAGTAAACGCTTATCAGATAAACCATGTGACCAGAGCTCGCTCACCTAGACAAGCCACATCCCCTCACGTCAACCCCACCAGCGTGGAACAGTATGGGACAGATGAACACTTTCAGAAGATTATGCTCAAGGTGCCCGTGGCGTACGTGGCGCCCCCTTGGGGCCGGCCGGAGAGCTCCGTGGGTAACAGTGCAGAGCCGGCGGAGGGACAAGGAACTGATGTGTCTTTCGGAGAGAGCCCTGGGCAGCTGGAACGCCCTGGCACAGGATTCCCAGTGTCCCCGACCTGTGCCACCATGTCCCATAATCCAGAACACACAGTGTTCCCTCTTCCTTCTTTTTTTACTTTATAAGAAAACCAGGGAATGGTGATGTGGGACTTAGGTTTAAAGTCAGGGCATATGGCGAAATTACAGAGGATCCAAATGGCCCTTAAAAGTTACTGACACCTCCAGTACTTGGGCCTTTGGAAATTCTAATAATTAGTTTAGCTCTGGCCTCCCCTTCTCTGGGCTAGTGGAAAGAGCGTCTAGTTAAGAGAGGTCAAGAGAATGATGAGGAAAATGAAAGGGTTTTTTTTTTTCCCTGTCCTCTGCTTTGTTATTGCTGAGTCCTGGAGTGGAAGCTGCTAGACCCAAATGAGCCCGAGGCTACTGCTCGGTGAGACGGAAGCTCTAACCTCCACAGACTGGACGACACTGGGGCCTGCGCTAACCAGAGGCAGATACTGCCGTTTGGACAAAGGGATCGTGTCTGGGACCCTATGGCTGCCTGGACAGACCCCTTGGGCATCATGAGGGGCTGCACGGAGGAGGAGGCAGGGGTGGCTCCTTTTCCACAAGAGTCCCCTCCCTGCAGGGAGACTGAGGACCTGCTTACCCCCACCACAGGCCTGGATGAAGAAGAGCTTGGGCTTCCCTCTCAGGCTGGGACAACCGGTTCCATTGAAGATGTTCACAATTTTCTCGATGGGCACAGGAAACCCATCTGTGCCATAAACAGCTCCCGGGAACTGACGGTGGCTGGCCTACGAGACCAAGAATCCTGGTTACAAAACCAAGTAGTTGGAGTTGGGATCCAACACACTGTTCAGAGGCTCTGTGAGCCCCAGCATGTAGAAGGCCCCAGCCAGGGGCACGAGGCTGGTTTAGACACAGGTTGGTTCTCGAAGGGCCCTGGTCAGCATCTATTCCAAGGGTCTCACATGCCTAACACAGCCTAACAGGGGAGTGCCAGCCAGCTTCTTCTAGATCAGTGGCTCTCAGAGTGTGGTCCCTGGACCAGAGGCATCAGCATCACCTGAGAACGTATAAGATCTGCTGATTCCTGGGCTCCACCCCGACCTAAATCAGAAGCCCCAGTGGTGGGGACTGGCAAGGTGGTCTTTCAGGAGCTTTGGATGCAGCTAAGCATTGAGACCCGCCGCTCGAAGCCAGGTCTTCTCAAACTTTATGTGTTCAAGACCCTGTCAAAGCACAGGCTCTCCGCGAAGAGGTCTGGGGCAAGGCCTGAGAGTCTGAATTTCTCACGATTGCCCAGGGAGGCCTATGCTGCCGCTCCAGGGGTCACGCCACAAATGAAAGGGGGGCAGTCCCTGCCCAGGCCCGACTCTTGCTCTGTAAGGATGTGGCCTAGTAAGGCCAGACCACTGCGGGTTTTCAGCTTGGAGCTTCTGACCTGTCCCAATGCTCAACTGGAAATATGAGGAAGCTGAGGCCCAGGAAACAGGAGGCAGGGCTGGGCCACGATGACCCAGCACATTAGTGGCCAAGTCCGGAGTGGGTCCCGGTGTCTTGACACCCAGCCCACAGCAAAGTGCCTGGGACAACGCAGGACCGAGGCAGGAGCCGGGAGCTCCCAGGTGCTGTGCCCGACTCTGAACAAAATCCGGGCTGGGAGCTGGGAGCGGAATTCGTCTCCTCCCTGCCTCTCCCAGGAGGGGTATCCATCTCCTCAGAGGGCCGGATGGCTCCCAGGAAAACAGCAGGAGATAGACAGGACCCCACGGCTCTTCCCACAAAGCCGAGGGCGTCTTGGACCCCGGAAGGGATGGGGCTCCTTCCTGGCCTCTCAGCGCCAGTGCTTGTGGGCAGCTTTACCTGGCAGCCGTGAGAGAGGATGACCACCACGCAGCAGTCCAGGGCACCGTGGTCCCGCCGCGCCAGCTCCACCAACACCTGGACCATTTGCTACAAGGTAAGGTCGCCAATGAGCCAGACCGTTGATGGATCAGGTCCCCATCGCGGGACTTGGGGACCAGACAGAGCCCTTTCCCTGCTCCCAGGACAACCACTGCGGTAATGACAGTCCTAACAGTCAGAGTAGCCACTGTTCTTGGGGACAAGGTGCCATGCTCGGGGGCGGTTCACAATGACCCCAGGAGGTGAGTACTGTTTCTGCTGTGTAGACAAGGAGACTGAAACTCAGGAGTCACACAGCAGGAGGGGGAGTCCGCAACCCAGGTGACTGAGCCTGCAGCTCCAACTGGTACCCACGCTGCCTCTCCTGGGCCCACGCGCCTAAGGGCTGGTGTCGGGGAGTCGCTTGCTTTCGGGTCTCTCGCGGGACACTTGCCCCACCCCGCCCCCCATCCCTGACCACAGGCAGCGGCCGTACCCTGGCCGTCTGGTCGTGCTTCACCTCCACGGCGAAGCGCAGCAAGGAGAAGCGCCGCTGCAACTTCTCACAGTCGATGTTGGAGCCGGTGCGGGCCGTGAGCCCGGACTTGGGGCAGAAGTTCACGTTGTTGATGATGAGGCAGTGGCCACAGGGGTCCGCGTTCAGGACGTACGCCTGCCCAAGCATGGGGACCAGCGTCAGCCGGGGTCACGCCGCACTCCTCGGGAGAGAAGGCGAGCCCCAGGTGGGCACCCCCACAGCAGACAGTCTGGAGAGATGGGACAGAGCACGGGGCCTGCACCCAGCATTCCAGGGCCGAAGCAGACAGACTGCAAACCAGACGGGCGTAAGCACGCACGGCAGGATGTGCAAACAGGCAGCTCGGGAGAGAGGACCCGTTCCCACAGCAGCATTTGGCTGAGAAGTTCAACCCCCAGAGCCATTCACCCCAAAAGGACCAGACAGATTGTCCCATCCAGGGAGCATCTGACAACCATGGGGGGGAGGGGGGGCTTCATCGGCCAACTTGTGCCCAAGTCCACCCTCAGAGCGTGGACACCACTTCCGAGCCGACGGGCTCCCCTTCTCCCTTGGAATCCTCCCTCACAGCAGCCTGTTCTTTTTGTCACAGTACTTAACACGATTTTGATTCAGATATTTCTTTGTGCAACTAGCCTCTGCCAGGCTGATGGCTCCGCAAGGGCTAGAAACACAAGGGGTCCGCCCCCAGGTATCCCGACAAGGAGCCCAGGACCAGCACGCAGGAGTCAAGCAACAAATGCTGCGAACAAGAGGGAGTGACTTGGTCCCACAGCCGACTGTGAGGCCTGCCTCACGCAAGGTCTGGGCCCCTGGCTGGATGGGACAGTCCGCTCCAGGAAGAGCTGTGCCAGGGGCAGGGAGCTGTAGGGGGCCTGGACCCTCTCTCCCGCTGGGCTCCTGACACACTGGCAGAGGGAAGGACCTGGGAAATGTGCAAAGCGGATGAGCCCAAGGCCAATGCAGCTGGCCCCGAATCCCATGAAGACTCACCAAATCAGCATTTCGCTTTGAAATTTCCTGAGCGCCTGGAGAGAGAGAAAAGGAGAGAAAATGTGAATGTCTGACCCAACCAGAGCAGGGCAAGGGACTTTGGAAACAGAAGAGCAAGAACTTGGGACACGTCGAGCACTGTTGGCGGGAGTCCAGGGGCACAGCCACCTTGCAGAACTGCTTAGAAGTTTCCAATGAAGTTAAACACACACCTAGCCTCTGACCAGCAATTCCATTCCTGGGAATATACCCAAGAGAAAGGAGTGCAATGGGCATAAACAGAGCCAGCCATGGATGATCACTTAAAGCCTTATTCTTCATCCCCAGAATTAGAAACAAGCCAAATGTTCACCCAGAACACTAACGGACAAACAATTTATGATAAAAGCCAAGGAACACTGTGCAGACTGAAAAGGAAGGAGGTACTGATGCATGCATTGCCACGGACAGCCACAAAACACTAGGCTAAGGAAAAGAAGCCAGAAGAGTGTATGCGATGTCATTCCATCTGTACAAAATTCTAAACCAGAAAGAGAAAAGGGAAGTTCCGGAAGCACAACACTTCCTGTCTGTGGAATCCATGGAGCCCCGCCCCCAGAAAGTCCTCAGGAAATGTTTGCAGAATGAATGAATGAGTAAAGGTGGTCATTTTTCCTTCAGTGTCAAAGGAGTTTTCATTCAAGTAGCAAGAAGTCAAATGACCCCCCAGCTTCTAAAGCAGTTAGGACTTTTTTTTTTCTTAAACAAAGAGAACTTGGTGGCTCGTTTCCAAAATCTCACTACACCCCAAAAAATATAACTATCATCCATGACTGAAAAATTCATTCATTCCCCAAATTAGTAGTGTCCATCCATAAAGTGAGAAAAGGACATCATCAAAATGGCTGAGTAAGTTTTCTACTGTCTTCCTCAACAAAGAACACCAATTTTGACATCATCCACAATTGAGACCATCTTTTTGGAAGTCCAGGAATTCAGCAGAGAAGTTCCAAAACACTGCTGGTGCAAAAAAATCCAAGATTGGATGTACTGAAGAAGTCCATCAACAAGGAGAAGAGAAGTTGACTCCTCCTTCAAATGCAAAGCCAACACATGACTTCAAGAAACATGAGAAATAAAGGAAATAGGACCCCCCGCAAAGAAGCACAATAATTCCCCAGTCACTGACCCTAGAGAAATAGAAATCTGCAATGTGCCTAACAAAGAATTCAAAATCACCATTTCAAGAAAGCTCCGTAAGCTACAAGAGCACACAGAAAGACAATTGAATAAAATCAGGAAAACAACACATGAACAAAACAAGAAGTTTAAAAGATAGAAACCACAAAAGAAGAACCAAATAGAAATACAGGAGCTGAAGGATGAACTGAAAGAAATGCAACAGACAGCATCAACATCAGACTGAATCAAGCACAAGAAAGAATCTGTGAAGTAGAAGACAACTCATTCGAAAGTACCCACTCAGCAAAGAGAAAAAAATAGTGAAGAAAGCCTACATGATGGGTTATCATGAAAAGAAACAATCTATGTATTATTGTAAACCCAGAAGAAGGAAGAGAGGGAGAAAGGGGTAGCAGGCTTATTTAAAAAAAAAATAATGCCTGGGGCGCCTGGGTGGCTTAGTCGGTTAAGCGTCCGACTTTCGCTTAGGTCATGATCTCGCGGTTCGTGGGTTCGAGCCCCGCGTCGGGCTCTGTGCTGACTGCCAGCTCGGAGCCTGGAGCCTGTTTCAGAGTCTGTGACTCCCTCTCTCTCTGACCCTCCCCTGTTCACGCTGTCTGTCTCTCTCTCCCCTAGAAATAAATAAAAAAAAAATTAAAAAAAAAAATTAAAAAAAAAAAAAATAATGCCTGAGGGGCACCTGGGTGGCTCAGTCGGTTAAGGTTAAGCATCTGACTTCAGCTCAGGTCATGATCTCACAGTTCATTGAGTGTGAGCCCCACACTGGGCCCTGTGCTGACAGCTCAGAGCCTGGGAGATGCTTCGGATTCTGTGTCTCCCTCTCTCTCTGCCCCTCCCCTCCTCACATTCTCTCTCTCTCTCTCTTCCTCAAAAACAAATAACATTAAAAAAAAATTTTTTTTTAATTAAAAAAAAAATGGCTGAGAACTTCTGACACCAGAAGAGATCTGGATATCCAAGTTCAGTAACCTCACAGTTCCAACTCCATACCAACCATTGTCTTGGTACTCACAGATCTCACTGACTGGTCCAGAACCAATGTCCACTGGCCTAGGCACCTCTGGCCTGAGAACCTCCGGCCGGAGCTTGGCTGGCCAGAGCTCCTCGGGCCCCAGCACCACTGGAGTGAGTTTTCCCCGAGTCGGCTTTGATGGATCCTGCTTCCCTCTGAGCTCCTCTGGTTTGAGGCCCATTGGTCCAACCATCACAGGCATGAGGTCCAGGGGTCTGAGGGCCTGTGGATTCTGCTTTTCTGCTTGCCGACTCGTTCTCAGTAATGAAGCCAGCGCATTCTGGCCTGTGTCCTCTAAGCAGGAGATGAACAAAGGAAGGGCCTGACTCCCTCGGGTCTCTAGATCTATGACGAGCTGCCTGGCCTGATCGCTCCGGGATCCTGAGCCTGCATGCTGTTTGGAAAGAAAGGCATGGCACTATTATCCACACAACTTCCTGTGAGTCTCATTGTGTCGTCCCCCTCCCCCGACAACACTTCCCATCCAATCTAAGTCTAACCGGTCAGGCACGTGGGCAAAAGTGGAGCCTTCAATTACACTGAGTGTGTAACTATCCATTCAGTGTTCTGGAGGCATCTCCTACGAGCCCAGCACCGCGCTAAGTGGTGAAAATACAGCAGCGAACATTCTCAGTCCTCAAGAAGCAGATACCTAGGGGGGAATGCAAACAGACAAATCAACAGTGACACACCAAAGAGAGAAGTGCCAGCCGGGAAAGGACCCCCGGAGGGTCCAGGGCCATCCAACTTAACCTTGGGAAGCCAGCGAGGCCTCCAGGAGGGGATGTCTTCACTGAGACCCCGGGGAACGTTAGGAAGTGAAAAGTGAATTCAGAGAAATGAGAAATGTAAGCTGGAGGAGGAAACGGCAGTGAGGGAGGAGGCCTTTGTGCAGTCGTGTCGTGAGAGCTGTGAGAAGCCACTGAGGACTTTTACGAAAGTGACAGAGTCAGATGTGCCTTTGAGAAAACTCATCCTGGAGGCAGGGTAGACAGTGGAAGGGTGTGAACCACAGCGGGGTCAGGTGGTGGCAACGATGGCGCAGCAAGAATGGAGAGAAATAAGCGGACAGACCAGAAAACTAAGGAAGGAGGGGGGCGCCTGGGTGGCTCGGTTGGTTAAGCGTCCCACTTCAGCTCAGATCATGATCTCACAGTTCATGGGTTCAAGCCCCACGTCGGGCTCTGTGCTGACAGCTCAGAGCCTGGAGCCTGCTTCAGATTCTGTGTCTCCCTCTCTCTGCTCCTCCCCTGCTCATGCACTCAGTCTCTTTCTCCCCAAAATAAACAAACATTTAAAAAAATTTTTTTTATATAGGGAAGGAGAATGCACAGAATTTGGACATCGATTGGGTGGCCTGTGACGATGCAGGAAAGGTCGAGGTTAACACATATCGTGATGGTGGGCTGGTCACCGACACGGGGAAAAGGAGGAAGAAGCTGATGGTCGCTAACTGTCCTTTGAGACCCAGCTCTGGCCAAGTTCCTCGGGACCCATGGGAATAAAACATCGCCCTCTCCTCAAATATCCTACAGCAGCACTGTCCAAGGGCACTTTCTATGATGATAGAAATGTCCTTCATCTGCTCTGTCCAATATGGTGGGTATTAGTGACTCCTGAGCATTTGGGTCTTACAACTGGGGAACTGAATTTGCTACTTTTTACTTGTTTTTTAAACATTTATTTATTTTTCAAAGAGAGACAGACAGACAGAAGAGGGAGACACAGGACCTGAAGCAGGCTCCAAGCTGTCAACACAGAGCCTGACGCGGGCTGGAACTCACAAACTGCAAGATCATGACCTGAGCTGAAGTCTGCCACCTACCCAACTGAGCCACCCAGGTGCCCCCGTGAGTTTTCTATCTTATTTAACATTCACTACTTCAGATTTACACTTAAATAGCCACCTGTGGCTAATGGCTATTATAGTGAACAGCACAGATCTATAATGTCACTGCAGAGATAATCCTAACAGCTACATGCCTTTCAACATTTCCTGCTCACAGTGAGACAGACCCCATGTTAAATGCATCATTTCATCTAGTCCCCCCTCAATAACCTTACGCGGTTAAATTACAATTATCCTCGCTTTACAGATGAGGGAAACTGAGTCCCAGAAAGGCACTGCAACTTGCTAATATGTAGCAAAGCCAGGAGGAGGACCTAGACCCCCACACGTCTCAGCCAAACCACGTGTGGCAAATGGCAGCCTGCTCCTCATGTGATAGTACTTTAAAAATCCAAATTCGTTACTAACATCTAAAATCAGGTAACTTAACATCAAAAGCAGGATTTTCAGCTTCTCTTTAAATAACGTGAAAGATCTGGAAACACAGAGCCAGCATTCTGGAATGGCCATACTGAGCTGGAGCTGGGGGGCTGCACAGCGTAGCGCCCACCCATTGGGCCTCTGTGTGCATCTTTATTTGTAACGCCTGTGAATGTATCTGAAGGCAAGGAAATGGACTCAAACCATTTCCACTACTCAGTTCAGGCCACAGAGCAGATTCTCATGAGACTTCTTTTAATATTATTCACTGGTAATTTTTCACATGACACTTATCCTATTAAAGACTTCCTCACTAGGTCAGGCGGAGATCCTGGATAATGCAGAAAATGTACAGTTGGTCTGCAAGCAGCCCACAGGGCACTGGCCAGAGGCCTCCAGAAAGCCACACGCACCCACTGCCCCTCCTGGTCAGAAATACCTCCTGGACCCTCCTTACCTCACAGGCCTGTGACCAGGGTCAAATAAGACAAAGACATGAAACTGTTTTTAAAGAGAACCTCACATGTTCACTTTTTCTCCACTACCTGCATCAGCACCCTCATCTCTAAAACCCTTTAGCAAGCATAAACTCAGCACAGGAGGGGCTGGCCAAAGAGGACAGGGCACAGCCAGCTAAGCCCTCACTCTGGGCCTGACGCAACAGTGTTCCACATCCATTCTCTCCTGTACCTCTCACGATACGACTGTTGTCCCATTTCACAGCCCAGAAAACTGAGGCTCACAGTGGATTGATGACTTAGCCAGGGACACAGAGCCAGGTAATGTGACACACACACACCCCCAACCACCACCAGCTGGGTGCCCTGAACCTCCATGCCAGCAGGTAAAACACAGGCCCCCATCCTGGCCAGAAGCCCCGTGCTCCAGCAGCCAACCGTGCACGCTGTGTGCTGGGCGTGGGATCGCTAGCAAGCCCTGGAAGAGGTGTTTGGTATTGCACGGTTCCGCTGGGCGATCTGGTGCGCTCAACGCCGGTAGGGAAAAGGGAGGTCCCACAGGATGGTTCCCCAAAGGGGATGGGTACTGGGGGCACAGGCGGGGAGGGGAAGGCGGGAGCTCGGCCTTCAAGGCACGCTGTGCCTTCCGCAGCCACCTCCGCGCGGCCTCGCTGACCCCCGCCGCTCCGTGAACGCCGCGCGCGGCGCGCGAAGCGGGGCGCACCTGGATGTCCTCGATCATCGCGGGCGTGAAGAGCTGGCGGCTCAGCAGAGCGTCCCAGAGCGAGGCCACCTGCAGCTCGCCGACCAGCCGCACCCGGCACTGCCGGAGGAGCCGCCGGTCAGCCTCGTCCATGGCGGCCCGACGGCTGGGACCCCGGCGGCCTCGGTCCGCTTCCTGGCCTCGGCCGCGGCGCCCCGCCCACCGCCCAGGACCCGCCCGGGCACCCGCCGCCGCGACGCGCCCCGCCCCCGCATCGCCCCTGGCCCCCGGGTCCCGCCCCAGGCCGGCACCGCACCACTTCCGCCCGCGCGGCTCCGCCTCCGCGGCTGCACCGCCCCCCTAGACGCACCCCGCAACCGGCACCGCCCCCTGGGGGCACCCCTAGTCCGGGCAGTCAGCCCCTAGCCAAAAGGTATCACCACTCCGCTTTTACAGAAATTCGGAGGGGGCGCGTCGAGAGTGGGGGTGGCGGACCCTAGGTAGGTAGTTCAGTCCGTTTAGTGTGGTTAAGTGTCTGAATTCGGCTCAGGTCATGATCTCACGGTTGGAGCCCTGCATGGGGCTCTCTGCTGTCAGCGCAGAGCTTGCTTGGGATCCTGTCTCCGTCTCTCTCTGCCCCTCTCCCACTAGCGCTCTCGCTCTCGCAAATAAATAATAAATAAATAAATAAATAAATAAAATCTTAAAAAAAAAAACCTCGGAGGGGGTTATACTGCTGGTAAGAGGGACACCCATGCCTCGGGCCATGGTCTGTCCAGCCCCATTCAGCCCCCGCCCTGGTTCAGTGTCCTCTAGTCTCCTTCCCGCGGTGATAAAACCATAATTCTGCCCCCGCCCCGTGCCCAGATCTCGTCGCTTACTGTTCCAAACTGTCCTGTCTCATCCAACCAAGCCCACATCCCAGGATCTTGAATCCCCTTCTTCCCTCCGTCCCACCCTAGCGCCTCCCACAAAGAAAAAAACAAAAGGCAGAAATCTCTCCTAAACTCCCAGTTTGTACAGCTCATTTCCACCTTATGGATAATTGCTCCTGTTTGCTGAGCATTTGCTAAGTCCCAGCCATTGTGCTAGTCATTTTACATTGTGTTATCTCACTTATCCTTGACTACAATCCTATCAAAGGAAGAGCAAAAACTATCCCCCCCCCTCATTTTACAGATGGGGGACGCTGGGGCTCAAGGAAGTGATGTATGTTCAAGGTCACAGAGCAGTAAGTGGCTCAAGGCCGTTAAGATTTAAACCTGAACCTGACTCGAGTCTACCTTAGAATCCATTCTCCTGAGCATCAAAACCTCAGCCCCATTTATTCATTTATTCCACAAACATTCTTGAGGTCCTGTCTGCGCTGAGGTCTACACGGGCGCCCAGAAGATACAGGTGAACAAAACAGAAAGCCCTGCCCTTGGAAGCTTACATTCCAGTGGGAGGAGTAGACGGTGAGCAATATAAAGAAATAAAAGATACAGTGTGTCAGGGATAAATGCAAAGGACATTAAATAAACAAATGAAAACGGGGGGACGGCGGATAAGAAATCTCTTTCTTTATATCCCCAAGGATACCTATATCATTGGCTCAATGAAAGTTTACCTCATTCATCTATGAGTCTCCCCCCTCCCTCCCCGCCACAAACACACCCATTTCCCGAGCTGAGGGCAGTCCCTGGCACATTCTACGGCAGAGGTCGCTTTGGTAAAGTTTAGGAGTCCTGGATTCTAGGCCTTGGGCAAGTCCCTGCCCCTCTCTGGGCCTCAGTCTCCCCATCAGTTTATGGAGGAGTTGGACTAGAAAGGGTCCCTAAGGTCCCTTCCAACTCTGACGCTCTAGGATTCTATGAATAGGGTTAAAGAAAACAGGGACCAGCGATTGCTTCCCCACCCTAGCAACTGTTGCTATACGAGGGCCATCTCCTGGTAAGTTTTGAAACGCCTTCCTGGATCGGGGAGGTCTATGGGCATCCCATCATGCATCGCGACTTCGCCTCGCTAGGAAGCACGTTTTGTCCTCTTTGGTCACGATCATCCCTTTGGATCCAGCCGACGAGCGCGCCGCGTTCCTATGGCAACCACGCCAGGTCCACGCGCGGACGGCGGGTAGCAAGGGTCAAAACAGACTCGCTAAGCAGAAGCCCTCGACCTGTTCTGTCCGTGCCTTCCGAGCGCCGAGCCTTTAAGTGTCACGTGACCCCCTCCGCTCGTCCCCGCCCCTTTCCCCTCCCCAGGTCCGGGCCAGCGCTGGTGCGGACAGGAGGCTCCTGGCCCGGCGGACTAACTGGAGCACGGACGCGGCAGCCGGTTGGGCCGGTGCCCTTTCCCGGTAATTCCTTCCCGGCGTGACGCGCGGAGCCGCGGACGCGGCGGGGCCGGGCAGGCTCGGGGATTTCCCGTCAGTTCCTCCTCGTTCCCGGTTCCCCAGGGCCCGGGGTAACCGGGAGCCGACAGGGCCCGGCCCAGGGCTCTCGGTGGGCGGCGGGGGAGGCGGCCGCCTCCCGGAGGGTTGCGACCTCCGGCGGGAGCTCAGACCTGCAGCGTGCCTCCTGGAGCCGCTGCCTGGTCTGGAGGATACTGCCCGCGGGCGGTAGCCTACCTGTTGGGCAGGTGGTTTCCTGTCGAGCTCCAGACTGTCAGCCAAAGAACTTAACAGCCCCCCGCCCCTTGGGCCCCTCACTGGAGGCGGCTGACACGGTGGAATAAGGCGGCAATTGCACTGCGTGGTAGAAAAAATAAGTACCCCTTTCTGACTGTTGACCCTGTGTTCCGTAAATCCTTTGCATACATTTAACTCCCTTGCTGATCTTTTCAAGGTGGTATGATTCACCCTCCGTTTATGAATGACACTGAGGCTTAGCAAGTTTAAGTAACTTGCCCAAGGTCATGAACTGGTAGAGGACGGATCCCGATTTGAGTCTGTTTCCAGAGCTTGTGTGCCTAACCAGTAGCTACCTCATCTTCCTGAGTTTTAGCGCTCTCTACATGTTTTATAGGTTATAGGTTGCCTTAACGAGGAAGAAATGAATTTTTTTAGGATATGGTTCAGCATGCATGCAGTCCCAAAAATTGGCCTTCGTGTCAGTCCAATTTTGTGATCACTCCCAGTCAGTATTTTGACTTCCACTTGTCAAAATCCACCGCTGTTACAGATTTGCCCTCCTTCAGTAAGGTGTCACCTTAGACCCTTGAACCTTAAAACATTAGTAATTCGTGAAAAGCCAGGATAAATATGACCCTTGAAAACTGACTGTATGATATCACAAAGTTCGTAATTCTCCACTGTAAACGTCCGTGCAGTACAGCACTACCCTGTTCACTATCCAGCCAGGATTACTTCCTAGCCCACCATGAGTTCAGTTACCACCCTAACCAGACATAGATCTTTAACATTTGAAGACCATGCCTGGTCAACAGCCTTTGGCATTAATCTCCCTTCACGTGGAAAACTGAATTTATCTCACCAGTTTTTCTCCTCTTAGGTCTCCATTTATAATAACCATATTGCTGATGGTTAAAGAACATCATGTCTCTTTTTTTGCTCCAGTGGGTGTGGTGACAAAGACTAGATTTGGGGCACACAATGTTATAACAAGTGTTTTTGGGTTTTGTTTTTTTTTTAAGAGTATCTCACTTTGCTGCTTGTACTTATTTAACCCCAAGAATGTCCCAACTATGTCATTTCATAGTTTTGCACTTGGTAAATCTTCTGATCTCATGCATTTATTATATACTCAGTGGCGTATTCTTAAGCCACGTATTTTTAAATTTAACGTATTGTCTGAATAATTGAAATAGTGTATTTGAGACGTAGTTGCCTTGATTTTCCTATGTATGTTTTCCCACATTTGCTTATGATTTCTTCATCTCATTGATTTTCAGTCATTTCTAAAGCTTTGCCCAATCCAAGGACTCTGGCAAGTTGCTGTTAAGTCTTACTGCTCACCTTTTCGCCTAGAATAGTTCTTATCTGTGATATTCGAAAACAGTAGCAAGATTGTCGATTTCAAAAGCCATGGTCAAACGGCTTGACGCTTTTCCTGCCAAATAGCTTTTGTTTGTTTTGTTTCTCATCTATATATCTTAGCCCTTTCCCTCAAAAGCAAGACTGTCCAGGTTTCTACCGCTGACACTCATTGCCTCTTCAATCATTTCAGCTCTGGAAAGGAAGAGAAATGGAAGTGAAAAAATTGAGCATTTCCTGGCGGTTCTTGATAGTTCTGGTTCTGGTCCTGCAAATTCTGTCTGCGTTGGATTTTGACCCATACAGAGTCCTAGGGGTCAGCCGAACAGCCAGTCAGGCTGATATTAAAAAGGCTTATAAGAAGCTCGCCCGGGAATGGTAGGTGAAACAAAGAAATAGCAGTTTAATATAAGCTAAGCAGTTGGAGTAGGGGAATGCAGCCTCAATTATGGTCAGCTTTTATTTGTCTCTGTGTCTATGTTCAATGAATCTATATCTGTCTAAAATATTTCATTTGGGAGAAATGATGTTCATGTTATTCTATAATTTTTTTCTTTTTTTTTTTTTAGTGATGAGATCCAAAGCCTGTATTTCTGTGAATTCTTTGGCCTAAAGAATTACCCTAGATACTGCCAGCATATTTAATGTTAAAGTAGGAGGGAGCTTTAGTTTAAAATATATATGTCATTGGCAGTGGGTAAGCTAACCACCCCATGATGTTATTCATAAAGTAACTCTTTATGCTAAAGGGAAGACTCTCTAATCCTATTTTCCACATTATTAATTTTAAGCTTTCAAGAAAATTTAGAGTCAGAGCTTTTTTGCCCTCGCTTTTACAAGAATATTCGAGAACCGAGTCCATTACTCTTAAAAATTATTCTGTAGAAAAGTCATAATTCTACATAGGTAGGTTTTATATATGATAAAGAGTGGACATAACGCATTTGTGAATGTGCAGGATAGCAGTCAATTTCAAACTTATGGACAGGCATCGTCAGGTTTTTCCACCAAGGCTTTGGACATGCCAAAGAGGTAGACGTATCTGGATTATGTAGCTGGAGGGGAGCAGCGAGGGGAGAGGACTGGAAGGGCACACGTGACTAGAAGCTGGCCAAGCCAGTCATAAATAATAAAAGACGGTTTGGGATGAGAACCACCGTCACACATGCTGGGCTCTTACGAGGCTCCTACCAACCTACTGCATGCTAGGCCCCGGGTTCTATGCTTTTTATCTTATTTAAACCTTATAATTACCCTACGAGGGAGGATATTGCTTGTTCCCCTTTCACCTGCGGGGAAATGTAGGCTCACTGTTACTAAGTCTTTATTACCCCTGGCTTGACCTTCTGTGCCATAGATAGTTTATTGCTGTTTTACTTCGTAATCACTTGCCCGCGTGAGCAGAGGTAAGAATGAGTGGGTTAGCGCTGAGGTGGGCAGGAAGTTCTGCAAGAGCAAAGCTGCCACACCGCAGGTGACATTGTAGCCCGTGCATCGCTCTGCCTGCCACCATTATTCTTCAGTGAGAGATAGATCTTCATTTTAAACCGCTTGCAGTAAAGGTAAAAGATAGTTTCAGATACAAGGTTTTGAATACATACATATTTTAAACCAAACTCTGATCACAGGGAGTCCAGAATTAGATACTAAAAACACAATCTAGTTATGTGTGGCCTCTTTCCAGGGACTCTCTTTACAGCAAAGTTGCTTTCCCCATCATTTCAAACTCTTGCCTCTTTATATTGAAAGCAAAATACATAAATCAGCAATAAATTCATAAAGTAGCAACATTCTTTTGGGCAGCGGAAGGCCCTTGGCAACATTTTAAAAGCAGAAATGATCGCTTGAGTGTGTGGGATTTATTAAAATGTACAGCTTTGACGTTTCTGTCTTCCAGAGCTGAAAAGGGTGTTATGATATTAATTAAATGAGTCATATGCTCCTCTTCCTTAATTAGATTCTCTCTAGGAGTAATTCATCACCTTAGAAATTATATAGAGTATCATACAGTGAAAGTCTAAAATTTCACCTCACCTTTGTATTTTCACCATGCTGTTACTCTCTGCTGTTTTGGCTCTGGCTGGGTTTTGTCACTGAAATCATTTGTTTCATTTCATGATGGCTTCATAGATGCTGAAAACGGCAGGCGTCCAGTTTGACTTTTCAGAATGAGCAGTAGCAGGGGGAGTGGTTAATGTTCGAGTTGGATCTGTAGCCTTCCTCCACTGGGTTTGACTACTTAAATAACATTTCTTAAGCTCCTCAAGAGCTTTCTTTCCCCTTCCTCGGTGAAACCATTTAAAGTTACTCTCTCTCAGCAAAACTATGTCTCTCTCCTAATAATTAGGTTTTAACAAATAGACTTTTCTTTTATCATCTCCACTGGCAATATAAACAACCCCACCCCAAGAAAAAGGCATCATAAAATTTGATCAGAAGCAAATGGGTATAACAAGGTCAGTCACTGGAACATTCAAACGATTTGCCTAATAGTTTCCTATATTGCTTTTTCTACCTTCATTTTTATTTCCTTAGAGGTAGCTACACAGCCAGTAGATAGCAAGTACGATACTTTCCTTCACTTCCAGATTTAAAAGATGAGTATCATATTGCAGTGGGTGACATGTTTCCTATACGCTGAAAATAGTATTGGGCATTGCTTTCCTAGAGCCAGATTCATCCTTTTCTGAATGCTTGCAACCTCCCACGATTGGCAGCGTCCCACGATTAGGAAAATATTCCTTATAACCTGAAACTGTCTTGTGGCTTCCTCCCTGTTCTCGGGCCTTGGTTTTGTCTTGGTCAGGATCTGTGGTTTGGGCCCAGCTCTGCTCTCACAGCCCTCACCTTGGTTAAGTCTCCTCAAATGCCCCTTCCTTTCCTTCAAACCTCCCCGCGCCAACCTAGTTCTGTACGTTAAACTTCATTTGCGTAATGGCTTAATTTTATCTTTTCAGCCTTTAGCCTAAGTTGGATATTTAAAACACTTTTTTTTTTTTTTTTTTTTGTTATTTAGAAGCACACTTTAGAACCACCATCATGTTTCTTTAAGTCATACTATTTTCATTATACCCGGCTGAGATTTTCTTTTCCCACTAATATTCATGAGAAGAATTAAATAGTTAAGGGAGGAATAATGTCTAAATTCAATTGACAACCGTTTGCAATTTATTTTTCGAGAAATCAGAATATGTGGTATAATTCATTCAAACATGTTCCTGGCAGAATGAGTTGATCAAGTTATAAAATTTCTTTATTCCAATGTGCTTGGTGCTGTTTTTAGTAGTCATTTGCTTCCAGAAGAAGCATTGCTTCTCTTTCCTGAACCTTTGCAAGGGGAAACTCACTGGAAGTTAGCAGAGGTGATTATATAAAGAATAACGTTCTGTAACAGGGTCTCTTAATAAAAAGAACATTGAAAAACCAGTGGGTAGAAAACACTGATTTAGGGCTTAGGGGACTCTAAGGAAGTAGCACCCAGCCCCCTACTTGCTGGGACCTTAAATCCCCAAAGCTGAAATTGGCATAAACACAGACGGATTATAAAATACCGAATGACCACAAATGCATATGGTTAATTGCAAGCTGTGAGTAATAGCAAATATTAGTTCTAATATTAGTTTAAATCACTTTGCATAAACTGTAGATTTTTCTCACCCCTTAAACATGGGGCCTTGAAATCATGATCCATTGATGGGTGAAAGGCCATCTTAGGCAAAAAGGGACAAGCAGAGCAATAACGAAACTAAAACGTTCTCACTTGAACATCAGCAGCAAAACGCGACTTGGAACATAGTTGTTACTAAACAAATTCACAGTGTGTTCTAGAAGCTATTTCCTATGTCCATCTGAGTTGTCCGAAGAAATACCTTCCTTGATAACATTCTAACCTGGGGATGGAGAGCTGCCATCCTGGGAAGGGAAGTGGGTTCATAGGGCTCAGTAACTTTAGCCCGGGGCCAGCTTCAGCGGTATTAGGAACAATGTAAAGACACGCGCAGAACCCACCTTTCCTCACTGGAACATTCTGGTACTCCCCTGTGCTTTGAAAATGTGCCCTGCTGAAGTGCTTTTGGTAGAAACTGCCTGTTTCAGAGTTTCACTTAATTATTACGATCACGTGAAGCAAGTGATTGCCTCTCCCATGTATTTTTAAGAAACTGCCCTAACTAAACAGCCTTCCTTCTGAGGTAGTCAGCCATGTGTACAAGATGTTAATTGACTGTGTGTAAAACACCAAACCCATTCTCACAGCCTGCCCATTTGTGTTTTCAGGCATCCTGACAAAAACAAAGACCCTGGAGCAGAAGACAAGTTCATCCAAATTAGCAAGGCTTATGAGGTATCCTGTCAAAGTTGTGATGCATCCGTTAGCTCGTATAAAATATGCTTTAGGTGACCAGTTTTGTAAAGGCCTCTCAGAAGGGGCACACTCCCAGTGTCCAGATGATGGTAGAGAAGACTTATTTAGTCACGTCCAATATGTTGAAATTGGTGCCTAAATACTTCACCTCATAAAAAAAAAAAAAACTGGCTTATTTTAAAGGCCTTAATGGAAATTGTAGAACTCATGGAATTCCTAACTGTAGATCTCTCTTTCCTTTGTAGAAACTTCTATCACGTGCTCACTTTGGCTGCACACATATACTAGAACTTCTCTTAAAGGAAGATTGATCTCCCAATTTATTAAAGTGACACAAGGTTACAAATGCATTTAAGCACGAATTTTCCAACAATTTTCCAACACGTCCACTAAAGCAGCTTGTTCTGGAACGTGCATTAAAGATACGTCCGTGGCTTTACAGCTTGTGTAGGGTAATGCTCTTCAAGAGGCGGTGCTTGGCTCATAGAATGGCACACCATCCTAAAACAGCCCCTTGAATTTTAGATTTCAGAATTATTTCTAAATAAAACAGAGTCAGCTAATGTATGAGACACTGAGCCCAACCCCGTGGCTACTTTTTGGTGTTTGCAGCTTTTCATATCTTGCTTTGAGCTACTCCAACTTAAGTGGCATGACCTGGTCAGTTTTCTTGTCATCCAGCACTGGTACGTTACGTTTTATTTGTTTTACTGGTGTATTGAGTATTATGATAACCCCAAATCTCTAAAGCCAGGACGAACACAAGTATCTATATGATCAAAGTATTTTAGTCTTGACATATTTAATGTTTTTGTTGAGAGAAGAGTCCCCTGGTGTGGTGCAGATTACTTTGAGAGTATCTAACCGTGTCGTAGCTCTACATTTATTTTCTTCCTGTGTCTTCCATGCTGCTCACAGAAAAGTCCTTTGGGTGAAACTTTTCCCATTTCATCAATTTCTTATTTTTTTTCTTTCCTTATAGATCCTTTCCAGTGAGGAAAAGAGATCGAATTACGATCACTATGGAGATGCCGGAGAGAACCAGGGCTTCCAGAAGCAGCAGCAACGAGAGTATCGCTTCCGCCATTTCCACGAGAATTTTTACTTCGACGAATCGTTTTTTCACTTCCCCTTTAATTCGGAGCGGCGGGACTCCATTGATGAAAAGTACTTACTGCACTTTTCACATTACGTGAATGAAGTGGTCCCAGACAGCTTCAAGAAACCCTACCTCATTAAGATCACCTCAGATTGGTGCTTCAGCTGCATCCACATCGAGCCCGTCTGGAAGGAAGTGGTTCAAGAACTGGAAGGATTGGGTAAGATCATTCTATTTGCTGGAGGTGTCCGTATGGGAGAAGGTAACCTTCCTATCTTGAATTGTCTGGGCTTCCGGGGAAAAGAAGCTGAGATTTCTTTCCCAAGTTCATGGTGACTGGTGTCAGGGACACATTTTCAGAGAGGGCGAATGTATCAGCCCCTTGGGTTTTGCATTACTAGCTTGCAGCCTTATCTGTAGAGTCTCCTAACATCTAGCTGGGGGCCTAATATATAGGAGCAGCTGAAAAACTATGGGTTGAAAAACTAAACTAAAACCATCAATTTAGGTGTTAGTGAGACTTGCAGGTTATTCCTTCCCACTACGTGTGATTTCGTTCCTTGGTTTAATTTGCTAGAGCTGCCATAACAAAATACCACAGAAACAACAGATTCTTACAGTTCTTTTTTTTTTTTTTTTTAATTTTTTATGTTTATTTTTGAGATGAGAGTAAGGGAGCATGAGCAGGGGAGGAGCAGGGAGAGAGGGAGACACAGAATCTGAAACAGGCTCCAGGCTCTGAGCGGTCAGCACAGAGCCCAATGCAGGGCCCAGTCCCACGACCATGAGATCATGACCTGAGCCGAAGTCGGACACTCAACTGACTGAGCTACCCAGGCGCCCCTATTTTCTTATGGTTCTCAAGGTTAGAAGTCCAAGGTCAAGGTGTGGGCAGGTTTGGTTTTCTCCGAGGCCTTTCTCCTTGCAGACGGCCACCCTCTCCCTGCACATTCACATGGTTGTGCCTCTGTGTGTGCACATTTCTGGTGTGTCTCTGTCTCTCTCTGTCTCTGTCTGTCCGTCTGTCTCTCTCTCTGTTTCCATGTCCTAATCTCTTCTTATAAGGACACCAATCATACTGGTTAGGGCCCACTTTAATGACCTAGTTTTAACTTAATTACTTCCTTGAAGGTCCTGTCTCTAAAAGCCGTCACATACCGAAGCACTGGGGGGTTAGGACTCCAACATACGGATTCTGGTGGTGGACGCGATTCACTCCATGACCACTCTCGAGCACCGTTCCCGTGTTCATAGTTACCACTTAGTGCCAGGAAAATGTCAATGATCCAGACAGGGTATTTATTTTAACAACTCTTAAAAGCTGGGATTACTGAATCGTGTGTGTGTGTTGTGTTTCATGGGCATTAGCAGACCTATTCTTGAGTAACTAAAACAGGGCCCAACTCAATCATAGGGCCTGATTTCTCTGGAGAGAACGTGCCACCGAAAGCCGTCAGGTCGTTTATTCTAAAGCAGAAATTGTCAGCCAGTTGTTGAGCAGCACTCAGATTTGCCAAAATGCTTTCCTGAGACTGAAGTTCTTGGAGGAAGACAAGGAAATAAGTTTAACGCAGTGTTGTTCCTACACGTGGCAGGAAGGCAGCAGATGCTTGCCGGTGGTGCATAATGAATGAATGAGAGGCTGAGCTCCGCTAGAAGGCCCTGGGTCAAATAGCTTCTTCATCAGAAAAGCATAATTGCATTTTATGCCACAGCACCTGGTATACTGACAACTATTTGACCAGGAGCTGACGTTCAGACCCAATAGCAGAGCATAAATCACTGCCTAAGTCAGCGTGGTAATGCCTCTACACCAAAGTCAGATCAGAGTTGGGGCACCTGGGTGGTTTGGTCGGTTAAGTGTCCGACTTTCGCTTGGGTCATGATCCCGCGGTTCATGGGTTCGAGCCCTGTGTCGGTCTCTGTGCTGACTGCCAGCTCAGAGCCTGGAGCCTGTTTCAGTCTGTGACTCCCTCTCTCTCTGACCCTCCCCTGCTCACGCTGTCTCTCTTTCTCTCCTAGAAATAAATAAAACATTAAAAAAAAAAAACCCACAAAGTCAGATCAGAGCCAACATTACGTTTTAAACACGTCGGGCAAACACATACAACGTGAGGTTTAGCGAAGCACTGTGGTTGGTTACCTGTGCTGCCCCTGCGCTTTGGAGTCAGACCAGTGTTCAGCTCTCAGCTCTGTTGTTTACTATCTTACTGTCCTTGGACAAATTCCCTAGCCCAGGTTTCTTCACCTCCAAAGTGGATGTGATCATGTCAAACCAATAGGGTCATTAAGAAGATTGAATGACAGGGGTGCCTGGGCGACTCAGTCGGATAAGCATCTGACTTCAGCTCAGGTCATGAACTCATGGCTCAAGAGTTTAAGCCCCGCATCAGGCTCTGTGCTGACAGCTCAGAGCCTGGAGCCTGCTTCGGATTCTTTGTCTCTCTCTCTCTCTGACCCTCTGCTGCTTATGCTGTCTCTCTCTCTCTCTCTCAGAAATAAATAAAAACATTAAAAAATTTTTTTAAAAAAAGAAGATTGAATGACAATAAATTATACTAAGTGCCTGACGTGTGTCAAACACAAACATAAAATGAGCCTTAGGAAATTTCTGATCAACCAGGTTTCTGGTTTACCAAAGGAAAAAAGTTTTAAAGTACCCATTTTATATATTTTTAAAAATCATTCTTAACTATATTAGTCTACTTTCTTCCTCTCAGTGACTCCCAACACTGACTTTTGACTTATGTTTAGCTAAGTCTTGAAAGGTAATTAGAAGTTGGATGGTAGGAAACCAAGGAGTAACATTACAAGCAGAGAAACAAAGAGGGTCCACAGAAGAGCTAGTCGCAGGGTGTCACCTGGGTGTAGGCGAGGGGAGGAAGGAGGAAGAGTAGGCTGGGATGAGGAAGTAGGGAGCTAAAGTCCAGGCTCAAAAAGTGGACTTCAGGGCCACCCGGATGGCTCAGTCAGTTGAACATGCATCCAACTCTTGATCTCAGCTCAGGTCTTGATCTCAGGGTCGTGAGTTCACACCCTGTTTTGGGCTCTGGGCCAGGTGTGGAGCCTACTTTAAAAAAAAGAAAAGAAAAGTGGACTTTATTTTACAGTGTGTGATAAAGCCCCGAAAAGCTGTCCCATCGAGATATGATTTAATGCAGTCTACGCTTTGGAAGGCTGTCCGAGCCGCATGAAGGACAGATTGAAGGAAGAAGGGAGACGGGGGGGGTCACCGGCCCCAGCAGGACAGCAGCCACCGGCCCCGACTAGGACAGCGGGACTCGAGAGAGGTGGACAAGCGTAAGACATGTAAGAGGTAGGATCGTGGAGGTGTGGAGGGACCTGGCTCCTGGAGACCTTCTGAATGGGAGGAATGAGGAAAACAGGAGAGGGGGGCCGGGACTGACTGCATTCTGACGTGAGCTCCTGGACCGACAGGGAAAAGCTGGATTTGAGCTGTTCTAAATAATAACTACCGTTTGGACATAATGAGCACGATGACATGAAAATTATAATCTTTGCTTATATTTATTGGTAACTTACCATAGGCCAAGCACTACTGTAAGAGTCAACTCTTATTAAACGATGGCCATTTGAAGCAGGCGCTGTTGTCATCCATCTTCTTCAGACACTTAGCTCATTTTTGGTACATTGTCAGGGTCTCACAGTTGGTGTTTGGCAGAGCTGATATTTGAACCCAGGTACTCTGGCCCTCTAATCCATGCATTGCGCACCATGCCGTCCTGCCTTTTAATGCCCTTAAAACTGTGATGATTGAAGGCCTTGCCAGTCATTTTAGGTTGTCGTACTGTGTAATCGTAGTAAGGCAGGACTCAAGTACATGGATGGGAGAGGCTGAATTTAGATCCATAGAAGTAACCGTTACTGAGGGCTCAGTCGATTCCCCCCACTGTGCACCCTCCCCCCCAAGTTCCCTGGAAGACAGGTTTGGCCTAAAAAGATGAGTTTGGTCTATAAAACATTTTCCTCTTGGGAACATTCAGATTAGTCGCAGATTCCCAACAGGCCCCGCTGAGTTACAGCTGGGTGAGTCAGGCAGTATGATAAGATGTCTGGCCATTCCCTGCCCAGATGAGGCAGCATGACCCTTTGAGACAGATAATTTTCCGTCCAGAGTCAATAGGAAGATCAGCTGAGTGGTCTGGGGAAGCTGGGGCCTTATGTCAGAATAACATCACAGGCCTGACTCGGCCACGTGCGAATGAAATAAAGCAGATCTGCCCCCGGGGAGAAGTCCTGCAGCCTCTTCAGGGGGAAGCCCCCATCCTGCAGTGTGATGGCCGCTAGTGTACAGGTGCAGCCAACGTTCATGGACAGGCACGCCGAGGAGGAGGAGGAGGAGCAGAAGCAGTCAGCACCGCCCCCTGACCTTAAGGAGCTGATTGTCTAGTTGAAGAGAAAATAATGTACCCTGAGAATTCACACTTGACATTTGCAAATACAGAATTATATTCGCAAGTGCAGACAACATAGTCCTTCAGGAGTAAGCAGAGGATGAGAGGGAATTCTAGTTCTGTTCAGACCTTCTTGATGAACCAAGTACTGTGTTAGACACTAATCGTTTTTATTGAGCCTTTTAGTTGTTTTGCGTTATGCTAGGTGATTTGTATGGATTATCTTTATCCCCAGAGCAGCTCAGTGAGGGAGAGACTACTATTAGCCCCATTTTCCAGATGAGGAAACTGAAGCCCAGGAAGGCTGAGGAACTGACCAAGGTCACACTATCCACAAGTGGCAGTGTTGGGATATGGACCCAGGAGCTCAGCTCCGGGGGCCACTTTTACCTGCCGTGCTGCACGGCTTTTGAAATACGTAAAACGTGGTCTTTGCGCCAGCACACCCAAATGGGAGACACACGTGAGTTATCACAGCACACCGAGCGCCCCCTGGCAGAGGCGTGGACAGGGCTAGCAGGGTGTCAGGGAGGTTGGGGGTCTTGAGATCAAGTATCATTTTAGGGGAACCCAGTGTGGACGACCCTGCAGAAATTCTTCACCATGACTTCCCACGTTAAAAGGAGGAGTAAACGAATGAATGAATGATTCCTCTCTTTTAAGGAATTGCTGAGTATGTAATAGTTCCATACTGTCTAGAAAAAGGATCTATCTAAATATTGGTTTTAAAAAACCTGGTTTACCTCCATGTCCTTGATTTTGGTCCATTTCACATTATTTGCATCGTAGTAAGTATTTTATTGACAGGCTTGTGTTCAGTCAGATTTGCAATGGCCTGTTCCTCCAGTTGGTTCCACACCGTTCCTGAAGACGTGTGCAAAACTTGAAATAAAAATGAGCGTGTGTATGCAACAGAGGAGAAAGAGAAAGAATTGCCCTAAAAGGTGCAATACGTGTTTAGGATCATATGATGAAAGGTACAACTAGTACCTCGAAACAGGCGTGACACAGGTACATGTTTCGTACTATACGGATAAAAGACTGCTTCCAATCTCAGAGAGAGAAGAAAACGTTAGTGTTTTTGATGATGCAAGATCTGCAAACTAGCCAGAAACATCAGTCCATATGAAAATCAAATAATGTTTCTGAAAGAGGTCACATCTGCTGTGCCTTTCTTTTAAATTTGCTACTCATGTTTGTTTGGATTTTGGGCATACCCATCTGCCACCTTGCCCAGCCATGCTAAATCAAAATAAGAGTACGCAGATAGTTTTACTTGCTGTTGGCCTAGCTGAGCTTGCTCTATGGACCCTGAACTTTGAAGTGTAGGAACTCCAAAGGCAGAGGAGACAATGGAGACCTTGTTATTCACTGTGACTCAGACCCTAAGTCACCACCAGTCATTGGTCTTTTCCCAGCTTGAGTCTCCGCAAGGTTCACAGCCCTGCTAGCCTCTCTTACTCTTCCCAGCGCGGGTGGGGAGGTGGCGGAGTTAGATTTTGAATTCTTACTAAATATCTTTTCCGGAGGAAGAACACCATGAATTGAAACACCAAATATTTATCATTCTTTATTCTTTTCTAATCCTTATGCTAGTTAATCTCTAGGAGAGAAGTAACATTCCTCCTGAATTTAGAAACAGGATTATGATGGTAAGAATTACGGTCCTTTGTAGAAACGATCCAAGAAATAGCCTTTATGGATCTGGAAACACGTTTTTTTTTTTTTCAACATTCATTTATTTACTTTGAGGAGGACAGAGAGAAAGAGAGAAGTTGAGCGGGGGAAGGTCAGAGAGAGAATCCCAAGCAGGCTCCGTGCTGTCAGCCCAGAGCCTGACCCACCCAGGGCTCAATCTCATAAACCGTGAGATCATGAACTGAGCTGAAGCCAAGAGTCAGACACTTAGCCGGTCAAGCCACCCAGGGGCCCCAGAAACACTTACATTTAATGAAGGTGATTTATGTAAAGACTCAACGGTAATTTAAGTAAAAGAAACGAAGCATAATCACTTGTCTCCTGTTCTAACTGGGAAAAAAGCTGTATTGATGGGAGTGCAGGGAAGGTGGGGAACCACGTGCTAATCGCTCTCTGCAGGAGGAGACCGTCTCCTCACGGCAAAAACTGCGCCCACGCAGAGACCATCTCTGGCTTCACCTTGGTCTGGATGGAATAATACTTCATAATAGCAGTTGTAATTAATTAGGGACCCGCTGTGTTCAAGGCTCTGAATCAGGTGGTTTTTCGTTGTGTCATTTCGTCCTGACAAAGCAAGTTCTCTCCATTTTACAAATGAGGAAACCGGGGCACAGGGGCTACATGACTTGCCCAAACTTACACGGCTAATGAGGGGCAGAGCTGGGCCTTGAATCTGGATCTGACAGATTTTGAATTCACTGGCTTCTTTTTTAAAAATCGAGTACCCACGAGGTGCCAGGAACTGGATGCCAGTAAACCAAGTAAGCAAACCTCCCGGAACTCCTAGAGCTCTGTTATAGTGACTGCGCACGACTAAACGAGACAGTCCGTCAAGGGCAACAGCACGGTAGAGCAGGGCAGGTACTAGAGAAGACCAGGGCCAGGTGCCGGGCTGGAATCAGGCAGACAGGGCAGACCTTGCTGAGGCGGCAGCCCATAAGGCGTGTGACCGTGAGCTTCAGGGACGCCCGGCGGAAGAGTAGAGTGAACAGCAAGCTCGGAAGATCTTTCCAGTTTCCCTTTGCTCCCCAGGACTGCCTGCATGCCTCACCTGACTCCAGGTCCACCAGCCACCCTGCTGACTGCTAATTCTAGTCCCCATGTGTCCTGAAACGCGGTACAGGACACCTGGAATGGCGCAGGTGCCTGGGCATACTGCTTGGGATTGTATAATAAATTGGCATCTGGTCTATATAAGACTGTTTAGGGGGAGTCCCTCTCTAAGAAATTGATCCTGCCAGTATTCAGAACCTAGGACAGAGGAGGTAATTGTTCCAAGCAGGCAAGAGCCAGGGCTGGGTCCAAGTCCTGGGTCCACTGCACGCAAACCGTAATGCCAGGTCCGTTGTCCTCAGCCTCTCCAGGCACTGCTGTCCTCATCCATGAAGGTAACCACACTGGCCACTCAGGATATTTGCATGTAAAGTGAAAATGTCTATAAAGCTATAGCCGTGCCACCTAACTTAGAAAGTGTTCAGGACGCAGCCATTCTGCCCTCGGGCCTTTGCCGTGTGGCCCCTTGACCTCCCTAGGGATGTCGCTTCTGAACTTACAGAAAACCAAACCTCTCGGTGCATGTGACTGCTACATTCTTGTTCTTCTCACAAAATTCTTACATGCGCTTCCATTTGTTGAACTTATTCCATAGATATTCATAATGTCTATAGGGTGATGTAATGTACTAGTCTTGGCTCTAGAACATCGGGTTTGGATTCTCACTCTACGGTGTTATCAGCTCAGCCAGCTGGGATCACGTAATCCCCCTGCAGCTCGCTTTGTCTGTAAAATGAGGGGTGGACCATGTGGTGTTCAAGGTTCCCCCTTTCCTGCCCTTGAGATACTCCAAAGGTCAGAGTCAGGCAGCCTGCAAATAGATTTGTTTGGTCTGCTCAGCAATTTTAACGTATTAAGCTTGTGATCCCTGCTGTTTACCTAGCAATTCCATTTTTGGAATTCAATTAAGAAAGCACACAAGTGCAGAAAGATATGTACACACAGACGTACAAGGATGCCCATCAGAATAGTCCCTGTAATAGTGAAAGCCAAAAGCAATTTCAGTAATCAGATCATTGATGGGGGGCACCTGCGTGGCTGAGTTGGTTAAGCGTTGGACTCTTGATCTCAGCTCAGGTCTTAATCGAAGTGTCGTGAGTTCAAGCCCCACATTGGGCTCCACACGACGTGGAGCCTACTTAAAAATTTTAAAAATTTAAAAAAACAAATAAAACCAAATAATTGATGGCCCGGTTTCAGTGAGCCCCTGCTGTGTGCCGTGCTCTGATCTGGCACTTGGAATTCACCAGTGAACCCAACCAAGCTGCCCGTCTTGCATCCTAGCAGGGGCGGGTATACAGCAGTCGACAGAGAAAGGAAAGTGTGTGATATGTTAGAAGACGGGAAGTGCTATGGGAAACAGGAAAGTGAGCAGGTTGAGGGGGATCCCGAGCGTGGGGAGTGTTGTTTCAAACATGGTAGCCGAGTGGGCCTCGTTGAGAAGGACTTGCAGCTGGCGAAGGAGTCAGCTGCACAGACGTCGGGGAGGTGCACACTCAGGCAAAAGGAGGAGCCAGTGCCAAGGCCCTGAGGCAGGAACATGTCAGTGTGTTTAAGGAAGAGAAGGATGCTGGGCGCCGGAGTGAGGTGAGGGAGGAGGAGGAGGGGAAGGAGGTCAGAAAGGAACCAGGGGACCAAATCCCAGAGAGTCTTGCTGGCCTTTGTGAAGATGGGCTTTTATTCTCAGTGAAATGGGAAGTCCCTGCAGTGCTTGGGCAGGGGAGTGCCCTGATCCATGTTTGTGTGTTAGAAGGGATCTTGACAATAGACCGCAGGGAGACTGGGGGAAACAAGACCATTAGGAGGGTATCACAGCCCCTGGGGAGGAGAGATGAGGTCTCCGAGAGGAGAGTCTAAAGAAAATGGAGAAAAACAGATTCCTGGTATATTTTGAAAACGAAACCAACAGGGCTTGCTGACAGATTGGACGTGGGGTGTGAGAGGCAAGAGGTGGAAGATGACTCCCATCTTCCATCCGAGTAACAGGAAGGAAGGGGCCCCGTCCGTGACCAGGGGAGGCCTGCGTGGGACAGGCCCGGGGGAGGAGATCAGGAGCTGGGTTTGGGAAATGTTAAGCTTAAGAAGTCTGTTGGGCCTCCCAGAGAAGATGCGTGTCTTTGCTGGCTCTTAATGCCTCATGTGCCTCTAGTGTCCAGCAGAGGAACTGGCTCTCCAAATGTATCCATTGAATGAACAAGGAAAATGATTCAATTCTCAAGTGAAATGAGTATCACATGTCCTGTTTTATTTTATGTATAGATGTGTGTGTCAACACACGTGTTTAGTTAAGAAAAGGCACAGCTAGATACCAAAATAGTAACAGTAGATATATGAGGTTAGGCTTCTCAGTGATTTTAAGCAAATTTCTTTCTCCTTTTGAGAACGTGCACTTCCTAATATCTCTACAAAGTAATTTATCTGAGAGAGAGACTTGCTCCGAAGAGCAAGGAGACCATGACTTCTATCGATAAATCCTAATCATTTTTTCCAACCACGCCCGAATTGTCAAGCCCTTAGATTGCTCGCAGGTTTTTTCCTTTGTGTGTCGGAACCCTGTGAGCAGACGGCTTTCTTTTCTTCCGAAGCATCTTCTCATGTTCTACTTCCAGAATTCGAACTAATAGACTAAAAGGAAGACTTGTAGCTCTTAAATACTACCAGATTATTCCACAGAAAAACTGAACCGATTGAGAATGTCAGCAGTGGAAACAACGCCAGATAACCTATTAGGAAAAGATACCCTCCCCTGCTAAGTCAGGACGGATTTCAGCTGCACATCAGAAAATTCCCAGCCTTCCTTCACCTCCCACTGGGGTGTAAACGGCTTCATGCGGGTCTTCCCTACTTTCCAGGTGTAGGGATCGGTGTGGTCCACGCTGGGTACGAGCGGCGCCTGGCCCATCACCTGGGAGCGCACAGCACCCCCTCCATCCTAGGAATCATAAATGGGAAAATCTCCTTCTTCCATAACGCAGTCGTCCGTGAGAACCTACGGCAGTTTGTAGAAAGTCTTCTTCCGGGAAACTTGGTGGAGAAAGTAAGTACCTGGCGGAGACATTTATGAGGCACCTAGGACCTGGCTGCCCTGATGCTTCTCAGTGGGCGTCTCAGACCTGAGGTTCGTTTCGAACAGGGCAAGCCATACCTTAATCAGTTAATCACACAACCGCAATCATTTCAGTGAAGTCTCTAGGAGACTGAAAATTGAAACAGAAGGATTCCCTCCCTGTTAGTAACCACTGTGCACATTTCTACCGGTGGTGGGGATCTGAGCCCAAAACGACAGGGACTCTCCATTTGTAAACAAAAATCAGATCACAAGGGAGGATGAAGGATCTCTTTCTGACTCGTGAATGTGTTCATTTGAAGGTATTTGTCCAATGAAAGTTTTCAAATTGAATTGCTTTTGGTTACATGAGACTGATACGCTGCCTGCTGTGCTAAGGAGGCACCTTACATTTGGTTATGTATTTAACAGTCACATCTGTGGAATACACAAGATTCCACGAAATCAAATCCCATTTTTGGAACTCTCAGAACTTAGAGGAATGCAACAATATGAATAATTTCACAAACAAAAGGTTGAGCTAAACAAGCCAGGCACAAAGTTCATACTAGTTTATGATTTTTGTACTTTAGCATTCTTTCCCCCAGCATCTTAGGTTAGGGATCAAAGGAACTAGAATAGGATTTTAATGCTTCAAGTTTTTTTTTTTTTTTAATTTTTTTTATGTTTATTAAACATTAGGGAGGGAGAGAGACAGCACGAGCAGAGGAAGGCCAGAGAGAGAGAGGGAGACACAGAATCCGAAGCAGGCTCCAGACTCTGAGCTGTCAGCACAGAGCCTGATGTGGGGCTCAACCCCACGAACCGTGAGATCATGACCTGAGCCAAAGTCGGACACCTAACCTAAACTGACCCACCCAGGCATCCCCAAGTTTATATATCATTTTAATGTTTTATTTATTTTTGAGAGAGAGAGAGTATGAGCAGGGGAAGGGCCATGAGAGAGGGGAACAGAGGATTCAAAGCAGGCTCTGCACTGACAGTAGCAAGCCCGATATAGGGCTCGAATTCACAAACCGTGAGATCATGACCTGAGCTGAAGTCAGACGCTTCACTGACTGAGCCACCCAGGCACCCCAAGAACAGAATTCTTGTTTGCTTTAAGTGTTTCATTTCTTTAACTGTATACGTGGGAGAGTGAACATACCAACATTTGCATCCTATTTCCACGTGCTCTATTCATAGAATACCCACGAAGAAGTATTTGTTGGAGTTCGCTCGAAAGGAAGTTGTCCAAGAGCATGGTAGGCTCCTAGAGTGATCAGAGTTGTTTGAATGGGTCCTCAAACGTTTATGAAATACCTACTCTGTGGGGCGCCTGGGTGGCTTAGTCGGTTAAGCGTCCGACTTTCGCTTAGGTCATGATCTCGCGGTTCGTGGGTTCGAGCCCCGCGTCGGGCTCTGTGCTGACTGCCAGCTCAGAGCCTGGAGCCTGTTTCAGAGTCTGTGTCTCCCTCTCTCTCTGACCCTCCCCTGCTCACGCTGTCTCTCTCTCTCCTAGAAATAAATAAAAATATTAAAAAAAAAAAATTTTAAAAAAAGAAAAAAGAAATACCTACTCTGTGCCAGGCACTGTAAGTGGACACTTTTCAAGGAGCTCCCAGTCTAGCAATAATTATTTCCATCTGATATGCTAAGAGCCTGTCCCAGAGAGCTGGGAATGGCTGCCTGGCAGAAAGGGCCCGAGTTTGCCAGGGGAGGAGGGGTGGTTGGGGGTGAGCTCCGGGCCCCAGGAGGTCTGCGACGTGCAACAGCGTGTTCTGGAGGAAGCAGTCACAGGAGCAGGAGAGGACCAGGCTGGAGGGCCCCCGAGGGCCTGGCCGCCCTTGAGGAGCTGCGCCTTGGCCTATAGGTGCTGGCGCCATTGAAGGGGGCTGAGCGGGGAGTGAAATGACCAGACTGAGGTTTAATATAGATCATTCTGGAAGCAGAATGGAAAGATAAACCTTTTTTTAACTATGAAAAATTTCTAGGTACATTTTTAATTTATTCATGTTTTTTTATTCTCTCAGTTGGATTATTTAAGGCATAAACAGGGAAGCACAAAAGTAGTAAATCAGACGATAATGAATGAAATCGTGTAATGTATAGACCGAGTGGGCCAACTTGTTTTTTTTAAGCCATTTTAAAAGAGCAGTCGTTGCATTATCTTCCGCAGGTCAGTAAGATTACAAAGCACAGTCTGTAATTCAAAAATTCCTTTTTTTTTCATAATGTGCTCAGTAACTGTTTCAGAAAAGATGTGATTTCAGTCTGTCAGAGTGGGCCACATGAAAATACGAAACCCATAACTGTTCTTTTAAAGCGTTTTAGTCAAAGGAAGACGAAAGATTCATCGTCTGCATTTTTTATGTTTTACAAAACAATCTTTTACACATACACAATTTTGTTTAATGATCTCCTGACTGCATTATAATGCTGCTGTTGAGAACCAAATACTGAATCTAACATCCTCTTTTCCACTTAAGGTTACAAATAAAAATTACGTCCGGTTCCTCTCTGGGTGGCAGCAGGACAATAAACCCCACGTCCTTCTGTTTGACCAAATGCCCGTCGCACCACTGCTGTACAAGGTATGTTATGAGTGGGGGGGAGGGGCGGGGGTGCTCTTTTTTTGGTGCAGTGAACTTGTAATCCACTTGCCCTTTCCGTGAGTAAGAGCAGATCCAAAAAGAAATGTTTATAAAGACCAGAAATTTGCGTAGCCACCAGCCACTGAGCACCTACGGATGCCGTTACTGCGCTCGGGTGCCTGCCCCGCACGTGATAGTGGTTAGTCTTCAGAAGAGCCCAGCCATGTAGACGTCTTCCCTGTTTTATAGGCCAAGATATCAGAGCTTAGGTTGTATAACCGACCCCCGTGGTGACTGTGTGATTCCCTTGAAGCGTGTCTGACTCCAGACCCGCGCCCTGAATGGCACCCTGTAGTACCGCGCTTCAGACACACCTCTTGTTGGCACCAGGACATGAGATGGGGGAGGAAAATGTCCCCGTTAACCTTTGGCGTGGTCACTGCCATCTCACGGGGTTGAGGTAATTCCTCAAACACTCCACGCCTCTGACCCAGTGTAGATCTCAGTAAAATGAATATTTTCCTCTATTTGTACCCACACTCAAATCACTGTGTTTAGCTTTGTTGGTACAGTTTGCATGCATGGAACACCATAGAATTCCTCTGGGCGCACCAGGGGCTAGCAGCCTGAGTGGGGCTATACAAGCTGGCATTCGTCACCTGCTGGTATGAACAAGTCACCCTTGGTGTGTGTGATTCTGTGCCATCAACTTAACTTCTTCCTGTTTGTCGCACCCTAACAGTTGACTGCTTTTGCATACAAAGATTACTTGTCATTTGGATATGTGCACGTCGGCTTGAGAGGAGCCGAAGAGATGATGCGGCAGTACAATGTCAACGTGTACGCCCCCACCATCTTGATCTTTAAAGAACACATAAACAAGCCTGCAGATGTCATCCAGGTAGGTGAGAGTCTCCGTTTCATCTCGGGCCTTTATAAATAAACAGCAGAAGTGAACAAGGCAAGTGAGGAGGAGAAATTCGCTTTTAATTTCTTCCTTCAGTGGCACAAAATTTTTTTTTATTTTTTTAATGTTTTTTATTTATTTCTGAGAGAAAGAGAGAGAGACAGCATGAGCAGGGGAGGGTCAGAGAGAGGGAAACACAGAATCTAAAGCAGGCTCCAGGCTCTGAGCTAGTGGTCAGCACAGAGCCTGATGCGGGACTCGAACCCACGAACTGCGAGATTATGACCTGAGCTAAAGTCGGATGCCCAACCGACTGAGCCACCCAGGCTCCCCAAGTGGCACAAAATTTAACACTGAGTCTGTTTTTTATCTGATTTGGTGCTATCTTGCTCAAAAAATAATCTTTTGGCAGAAACTAGAATGATGGTAATGCCAGGGTCTGGGCAGGAAGATACAGGTGTTTAATGGGTACACTTCCAGTTTGGGAAGGGAAAAAGTTCTGCAGATGGATGGTTCTGGGCATGGCTGCACAACGGTGTGAATATACTTAATGTCACAGAACTGTGCCCTTGGAAATGGTTTAAATGGTCACTTTTACATCATGTGTATTTTGCCACAAAAGTAAAATAAGAACCAATAATCATCTTTTACTTCTAAAGTGCTCCTGTCAGAAAAGCAATAATGTTCTTCTAAAATAAGTTACAAAAATAAATTCAAGATAAACGGCTGAAAATCTTGTTGGAAGATCTTAACTCGATTATAAGTTTAAAATTGTACATAAATACTTTAAAATGTTTAAGGTAGGGGCGCCTGGGTGGCTCAGATGGTTAAGCGTCCGACCTCAGTTCAGGTCACGATCTCATGGTTTGTGGGTTCGAGCCCCACGTTGGGCTCTGTGCTGACAGCTCAGAGCCTGGAGCCTGCTTCAGATTCTGTGTCTCCGTCTCCCTGGCCCTCCCCTGCTCATGCTGTCACTATCTCTCTCTCAAAAATAAATAAAATATTAAAAAGAGTTTTTAAAAAATGTTTAAGTTAAACGATCAGCTGAGAGAAATATTTACAACCAATCTAAAAAAGATATCTCTAATTTCTCATGAGCTTCTTCTAATCAAAGAGATCAACACAAAACTTCCCGGAAGTGACTCCTTAATGGGTACAGAGTTTTCTTTGTGGGTGATGGAAATGTGTGGGACTAGAGAGAGGTGATTGTTATACAACACTGTGAATGTACTAAATGCCACTGAATTGTACATTTAAAAATAGTTGATTTTATGGGATGTGAATTTCACCTCAAAAAAAATTTTTTTAGTAAAACTTCTCAAGAAGAATGGACTGAGAATATGAACAAAATTCTGAGAAGAAATTCCAGCAACTGAGAAGCACTTTTAAAAATTAGATCTCAGGGCACCTGGGTGGCTCAGTTGGTTAAGTGTCCGACTTCGCTCAGGTTGTGATCTCGCAGCTCGTGGGTTCGAGCCCCGCATCGGGCTCTGTGCTGACAGCTCAGAGCCTGGAGCCTGTTTCAGATTCTGTGTCTCCCTCTCTCTCTGACCCTCCCCTGTTCATGCTGTCTCTGTCTCTCAGAAATAAATAAAAAGCATTAAAAAAAATTTTTTTAATTAATTAGATCTCAGTAATCAAGAAAACCCAATTTAACATATTCTTCTTCTCCCAACACATCGTTAAAGATTTTCAAAGCGAAGATACTCAGTAGTGATGAGGGTATAGAGAAGCAGACACTCTTTTGTTTTGCTCACTGGAGGAAGCTTCAGAACTTTTCGGAAAAGCAGTAGGGTGATAATCTATAAATTGCCTAGATTCATTCAGGAAAAGACGACTCGTGAGTACCCAGCTTGGGCCAAACCCTGCCCTGCATGCTGGGGACAGAGCCCTGTACAGAATCCCCTGACTTCCCTGTCCTCGGGTCTGCCCTGTTCTCCAGTGGGGACAGCAGACAACTGGCATAACGTACTCCATGGTGGCACGTCATATGGGGACAGGTGCTAGGGAGAAAAACAGCAGGAAAGGGGGATGTGGAATATCAGGAGAGCAGGGTTACATGTCTTAAGGCAGAGTGCCCAAGAAGGGCCTCATTAGGATGACGCTTGGGGCACCTGGGTGGCTCAGTCAGGCGACCGGCTTCAGCTCAGGGCATGATCTCGTGGTCTGTGGGTTCGAGCACCGCATCAGGCTCTGTGCTGACAGCTCAGAGCCTGGAGCCTGCTTCAGATTCTGTGTCTCCCTTTCTCTCTGCCCCTCCCCTACTTGTACTCTGTCTCTCTGTCTCTTTCTCTCTCTCTCAAAAATAACATTTTTTAAATGTTTAAAAAAAAAAAAAGGATGATGTTTGAGCAAAGACCCTGGGGAAATGAGATTACCTGTTAGGAATCTTTCCTCAGGGACTACGAATTCAGCCAAAACTTACGCAGAGATGTTAAGTGTCATTCATAGCAGTTTTCACTGGGGCCGGGGGGAGGGGGGGAAGAGTATATCCAGCAGTAGGCTAATTATTGGTACAGCCCTAACAAGGACTATGGTACAGCCATTTAGCCCATTAAAATGGCGGCTCAAGAACACTAAGTGATGGGGATAATTCTCGTGACATCATGTCAAAAAGAGCAAGCGGGACGCACATCTGAGGGGCCTCACCCTGCAGCAGGTGGGGACCCTGTGGTCATCTCAGACTCAAGTTCCATTTTGAGCAGGGCAGGTCACATATTAGTTAATTACTTACTCAGACAAAATCATTTAAATGAAGTCTGTAGGAGACTGAAAATTGAAACAGATAAAGCACAGAGACTAAAAGATCTCACCACGTATCAACTATACCCACAGTTTCTAACACATTACACACAATACACTCAATTTTGTAACCACATGTGTGCATGTGTGTACGTATGGGGGCACATGGGAAAACACATCTCTTACGTCTCTTGATGGTAAAATTATGTTTTATTTTCTTTTTTTTTTTAATTTTTTTAATGTTTTATTTCTAGGAAAGAGAGAGAGAGACAGCGTGAGCAGGGGAGGGTCAGAGAGAGAGGGAGTCACAGACTCTGAAACAGGCTCCAGGCTCTGAGCTGGCAGTCAGCACAGAGCCCGACGCGGGGCTCGAACCCACGAACCACGAGATCATGACCCAAGTGAAAGTCGGACGCTTAACCAACTAAGCCACCCAGGCGCCCCTGTTTTATTTTCATATTGGGGTTTTTAAAAATGCCTATAATGAACGTGTATTATTTAATTTCTTGAATGTTCTGTTTAAAAACTCAAAAGAACCCCTCGACTCACCCTGTCCCAGAGGAAGCCAGAATGCGAAATTCTGTGAAATCCTGTATTTCTTTCAGGCAGTAGATGTTTCATTGGCTGCCTGCTGTATGGTGAATACAGAGGAGCTCTGACATCCAGAGTTAGTTTTTGTCCTCACAACCCAGTTAGGGGAAAAGAGGCCTAAAGGCAGTTTCCAGCCAGCAGCAGAGGCGACTCATTCAGAGGCGAATGTAGAGGAAGGGCACTTGAGCCTGGGCATAGGGTAGGACATTCCGCATGACAGAACCAGACAGGGGAACTGAGGAGAGAAAAGCAGGTTTAGGAAGAAGGTAACGAATTCAGTTGTGGACGTACAGGATGAGAGCTGCCTCCAGGAAATCTAAGGGGAGGTGTCCGTCGTGCAGGTGGGTGTAGGGGTGGAGGTCTTAGTGAGCTGGGGAGAGGGATCTGTGGACCATGAGTGAGTGGTTACAGGTGGAAGTCCTCAGTGTGGAGCCATCTCCCAGCCATGGTATGTGAGGTAAGGAGAGAAGGGGGCCGAGGACAAAATTGTGGTCAACCACTGGCCATTAAAAAGGGGGTGCCCAGTGGTCACTGAGGAGCTGAAAGGCAGGAAACATGCTGGTAGTATAGAGAGAAAAGACCATCTCAGTGCAAGGTCAGTCTCTGATGACTTCCAGAATTGCTTCTCAGTAATAGCTTCTACTCGTGAGATGATTCCTTTTTCCCTTGTGGAAAATCGCAGCTCAAACACATTTACAAAATGACTGGCACAAAGGATGCTTTACCAGCGTGTTCATTACGGATATAAACGTGGCGCCTCCCGACGGCAGGTCACTTAGTAGGTGCAGGACCCCTGGTCTCAGGGCGCCTCCACTGAGCTTGTCTCCATTTGCTCGATAGTACGTACGGCCACACGGTAACATCTTGATTCATTCTCTTTTGATGGGCATTTCGGGGCTTTAAGAGCAGTGTCACCCTGAGCACAACGTGTATCTCGGTCCATCTGGGTGTCGCGAGGACAGCAGTTGTCAGCGTGACGTTCACAGACCCTGGAGTGGGGGTGGGAAGTCTGTGAGCTCAAAACTGTCTCCGTAATAACACAGACGTGATTGTCCTTAGTGTGTTGACACTTGCCCTGATGGTGGGGGAGCAATGGCGGCTTAAACTCCCAGGGCACAACCCAGTGTACGACCCAGAACATAAACGAAAGCCCGGGCCCCAGACCGCCAGTGAGCACGTGTTTTCACTCCTAAGCATTCACCATAGAAACAAGCTACACATTTATCACTTAATACCCTTGATGGAGCAGCAACAAGTACAATTTTATTAACAAATCTGTCAACCCTTGAATACATGTCTCTTGGGTATTTTTAATATTCTGTATGACAAAACACTGCTGCTGCCGAAGTATAAAGATTGTCTTGAGGGTGAGCATTTGTGTGATTACTTAACTCCTAAGTTTTGAACTTGCCCCTTTTTTTAACAGAATTTTTTTTTTTTTTTTTTTTGAGAACGTGGGGGAGAGGGGCAGAAAGAGAGGGGGACAGAGGATCCAAAACAGGCTTTGGGCTAACAGCAGCCAGCCCGTTGCAGGGCTCGAACTCAAGAACCGCGAGATCATGACCTGAGTCGAAGTCAGACGCTTAACCGACTGAGCCACCCAGGCGCCCCGACAGGATGTTATTTGTGCCTGAAAGAATGACTGGTTATTCAGACTTGGG